AGCTACGCCTCACCTTGTCGCAGACGGGATTGGCGCCGATGGCTATCCTGCCTTCCAGCGCCCAGCGCCCGACGCTTTTGTAATGGAATTGATAAATTGACAAGACAAGCCGTCTACGTAGTGCCCCTCCTCAACCCTGCCTCCCGGTGTCTGGTGAAGCTTGTTGCCCCTCATTCGCCCTCACACTCGTCCAGCCTTCAACCTCTTCGAGACAACCGCCTGGAGCTTTGCACACAGCAACCCACCTTCTTTTTCCCGCCTCTGCCAAGCATCCCTTTGGGGTTTCCTTTGACGCCGCCACCTCCTCTGCCGGCCGCTTCGATTGACCTGCTATTGATATCGACCCCATAAATGCCCAGCGCGGCTTACCTACAACTCTTTGCTCGACCCATCGATACTCTACTTGCGCCATTACGAAATATCCTACTCGCCCTCTGGCGGGCTCTCTTCCTCCGTCTCAGCCCGTCCGCTGCGACATCGACCCTGACAAGTCTGCCACGAACACGCTCTCCAACCATGGCCGCTCCAAAGAAAAAGATTGCCGTTATGACCTCTGGGGGTGACTCCCCAGGCATGAATGGTGTTGTTCGAGCTGTTGTGCGAACAGCTATCCATATGGATTGCGATGCCTATGCCGTCTACGAAGGATACGAGGGCTTGGTGCGGGGAGGAAATTTCATCAGGAAGATGGAATGGCACGATGTTCGAGGCTGGCTCTCCGAGGGAGGTACGCTTATCGGAACAGCTCGCTGCATGGCTTTCTACGAGCGATCGGGGCGCTTGACAGCCGCCAAAAACATGGTCCTGAACGGCATCGATGCCCTGATTATCTGCGGAGGAGATGGCTCGCTCACCGGCGCCGACAGATTCCGGTCCGAATGGCCGTCATTGCTGGAGGAGTTGGTGACGAGTGGCGAGCTTTCCGAGGACCAGGTTGCTCCCTACCAGCACCTCAACATCGTTGGCATTGTTGGTTCCATTGACAACGACCTCTCCGGCACCGACGCCACCGTTGGCTGCTACTCCGCGCTGTCACGAATTTGCGAAATGGTCGACTACATTGAAGCTACCGCCTCGTCTCACTCCCGTGCCTTCGTCATCGAGGTCATGGGACGACACTGCGGGTGGCTAGCTCTTTTGGCCGGAGTCGCAACAGGTGCAGACTTTGTCTTCATCCCTGAGCGTCCTCAAGAGCACGACTGGAGAAAAGACATGCGTTTGGTTGTCAATCGACATCGAAAGCTCGGCAAGCGCAAGACAATTGTCATCGTCGCCGAGGGCGCCCGCGATAAGGACGGCAACAAGATTGTCCCCGAGGAAATTAAGGATCTTCTGGCCGACAAGGCGGAGGGCGGTCTCGGACTTGATACTCGCATCACTACTCTGGGTCATGTCCAGCGCGGAGGTACGGCAGTTGCCTACGACCGCGTGCTCTCTACGCTGCAGGGTGTGGAAGCCGTCCACGCCGTGCTGGAAGCCACCCCCGACACCGAGACTTGCTTCATTGCCATGAACGAGAACAAGATTGTACGCAAGCCGCTGATGAAGGCTGTCCAAGAAACCAAGGAACTGGCCAAGGCTGTCGATGCAAAGGACTTTGAGAAGGCCATGTCACTGCGTGATGCCGAGTTTGCCGACCAGTACAATTCGTATATTACAACGACCAACGTCATGATTGACGACCACAAGCTACCCCATAAGCACGTGAGTGTTGGAAAGCTGACCTGACTCCTGGGATATGGAAATACTGACATGGGATCCAATTACTTAGCGCATGAAGGTTGGCTTCATCAACGTTGGCGCCCCGGCAGGCGGAATGAACGCGGCGGTGCGAGCAGCCGTTGCGTACTGTATCAGTCGAGGACACGAGCCCATTGCCATTCATAACGGATTTGCAGGCTTTGCGCGTCACCACGACGATAAGCCCGTGGGCTCTGTCCGACCGTTTGACTGGCTCGAAGTAGATGGCTGGGCGAGTAAGGGTGGCTCTGAGATTGGCACGAACCGTGAGCTGCCAGAAGAATCGGGCATGGAGCTCATTGCCAACTTGATTGAGCAGTATGAATTTGATGCCCTCTTCATCATTGGGGGTTTCGAGGCCTTTCACTCTGTGGCCCAGCTGCGAAAGCACAGGGACGAGTACCCTTCACTCTGCATCCCCATCTGCCTCCTGCCCGCGACCATCTCCAACAACGTGCCGGGTACCGAGTACTCTCTTGGATCGGACACGTGCTTGAATGAGCTCGTGAGTTACTGCGACAAAATTAAGCAGTCTGCGTCTGCCACTCGTCGACGAGTGTTTGTCATTGAAACGCAGGGCGGTCGCTGCGGCTACGTTGCTACGCTCAGCGGACTGAGTGTTGGGGCGTCGGCAGTCTACATCCCAGAAGAGGGAATCAGTCTCTCCATGCTCAACGCGGATGTCAACCATCTCAAGGAGGTGTTTAAAAACGACCGTGGGCAGTCCCGCGCGGGTCGTCTCATCCTGGTCAACGAAAAGGCGAGCAAAGTGTACGATGCCAAGCTGATTGCCAACATTATCCGCGAGGAAGCCCACGACCGGTTCGAGAGTCGTGAAAGCATCCCCGGACACGTGCAACAGGGCGGTGTTCCATCCCCCATGGACCGCTGCCGGGCGGTTCGGTTGGCCATCAAGTGCATCCAGCACCTGGAGGACTTTGGCTGCAACGCCCATAACCGCGTCAAGAAGGACCCCCACAGCACGTCGGTCATTGGCATCCAGGGCTCCGAGGTTGTGTTCACGCCGGTGAAGGCGCTGGAGGAGCAGGGGACGGACTGGCCCAACAGACGGCCCAAGGCTGCCCACTGGCTAGAGGTGCGTGATGTGGTGGACATGCTGGGCGGTCGGCCTGACTATCCCAGACCGGAGAAGAGTCTGACGGGGTTGATTGCCAAAGACACCAAGAGGGGCCTTGCCTGAGAGCAAGGCGCTGGATCAAGAGTGTTGGGGGGTGGTTTAAACCTGAACGAAGCAACTACAACTCGACTCGTTTCGTGCATTCATCTTATCGCTGGCGTTGTTGCAGGATTGGTGTACTTGTGGGTTACTCTTTATGGTTACAGTAGAGTTATAAGAACTAGTAGTCCTACCGGCAAGGTACCGACCGCGTGGGCGCGAATCTGCTTTTGAACCCGTACGGAGTACACTAGCTCCCGATTTTAGAGTATGCATACCCATCTCGGTTCCGGCAGTAGAAACTACTACTCTGTTGTAGCTCGTGCGGGCGTCAACGACACAAGGGTCCCGTGCGAGGGGCCAGCTCGATGTCCGTCAGATTGTACGGGCGTCAGGAGTGAATACTATCCCCTGGTGACTTGCATTACGCCGCTTGCCATGTGACGACCAGCAGACTATTCTCACCAGTCTGCTCACCTGCCAGTGACGGCTGAAGAGCAAAAATCAGTGGGCATCCATCATCCAAACTAGTCAAGTGACAGTCTCTCACACCCACCAGTCGTGCGTGGGGGACGGGCAAAGACGGTCAACAGAGCAGATGACAGCGTGGCAAATTTTATCATGAATATTATTCTTCTGTAAAAACGGGTCCGATGCCCAAAGGACCAAGAGAGACGAAATGTCATCCGTCCCATGGCATCCCCGGCGGACGGGCAGCAGGGCGGGGGTAAGGGGGGGGGGATAAACAAGCATTACGGCATAATGGGGTGGCTGCACAATTGCGTCAATATTCGGACATGGCCAGACGGAGCATTTTTGGGATCGGCGGCGGCCCCAAAACTTGGCAACTTGGCGGACGGAGGGCACGAGTTGACGGCGCAGGGATTGGGACGTGGGAACATGGGCGTCGAAACGTCGACTTTGACGAGTCGATGGACTAGGCCATGGGCAAGAAGAGAAGGAGAGAAAAAAAAAGACATGTTGCCGCTTCAAATTGCCAAAGACTGGTGGCAGCCGACAGGCATCAACGGGCGCTGTCGGGACCTGATGTTGTTTGAAACGGCCAGCGCTGACTGCTTAGACGACGCGGTCGAGTGATTGGGCAGACGTGTCGATGCTGTCCTGGCCCGCGGGCATGGATTGGCGTTGACGTCCGGCCTGGTTGGTTTCTCGCAGACACGAGGCGGGCAGTGGCGGCGTCGAGGCCAGCAAGACTTCGAATGACGGCAGGGCGAGCGCGAGCCCAGGCCGCGTATGTACATATGTACATGACTTGCATTGATGGCTCTTTGTCCTGCGCTGGCCTGCGCAAGCTGGTCCTGCGACGCCGTCTTGTTTCTTCTTTCTAAAGTTGTCACTCTTGGGCCCTTTCCCGCCCCAGCGACGACCAGACTTGACATTGTATACGTCGCGCGTTGGGCTCCGAGCCTCTGTCTGTTCTCGTCGCTTTGGGCCGTCCCGGTCCGCCAGCTCCACACGTACGGTCCGCCCCTGCGCCCCTCGCGGGTGACACTGGTCGTGCTGGTTTGGCGCTCACGTCACTGCATGTGCGCTCTCTCGCGTGCATTAATGTCATTACATCAAGCGTCCAGCCTCCTTCTTTTCCTTTGCCCATCCAAGCAGAGCGATATTTTCGCTCGTGAGCTTTTTCTTGCGCTACAGTCTAGCGTTTGCTTGCAGGCGGTGCCTCTTTTATCGACTTTTACTTTTTTTTTTTTTTCCATCTCCTCTCGACAGGCGCTCTTGTTTTGCCGTGTCTGCCTTGGGACGTTTAGGACGGCCTCGCCCATCCACGATTCGCTTGACGAGGCGTCAGTGCCTGGAACTTGAGAGTCGGTGCACCTCGACGGGCTGCCTCACCAGTCCTAGATTGACCAACGGGTTTGCAATCTTGGGCCTACTTGGACCAGAGTCACGACGTTATTTTTTTTTTCTCCCTGCCTTTTCTACTTTTATTTTTATTTTCTCCTCTCCTCTCTGTCGACCAGCGAGCCTCCCCCTCTCTGCGATATATCTGCCCCTCATTGTCAAGACGTCCCGAACAAAGGAAAATCCATAGTCGCCCAACGTCGCCGCCGCAACCATGTCGCAACGTGGCGCCAGGGCCACCGACTTTGAGGAAAGGGACTACTACCCTGCCCCTCGTCGGTCCGGCACGCGCTTCGAAGAGGCGGATTACCGCACCTCGAGGGTCATGACACGAAGCCCTCCGCCGCGCGAGCGAGAGTCGGACCGTGGCATCTCCTTCTTGAGAGATGACGCCCGAAGGTCTGAGCCGGGACAGATGGTCCTTCGCAAGCGGGACGTGGAAACCTGGGATGTGCACCGGAGCCCGAGTCCGCCCCGAGTCCGTGAGCAGCGCATCGTCCACCGACCGAGGAGCGAGTCGCCGCGTTATCATGACCACGAGCACGAGCGTTCGAGGACGAGGGTCGTCGAGAGAGAACGGGAGAGGGTTAGGTCGCCGTCTGCCGTGAGGATGAGGAGCCCTAGCCCGGGCGTACGCTTTGTAGAGCGGAGGAGGAGGAGCCCGAGCCCTCCCGTAAGAGAGCATATCCGCACGAGAATCGTCGAGAGGGAAAAGGCCAAGGAGCCGAGTCCCAGCCCGAGTCCCAGTCCGCCACCCGTGATACGGGGACCGACCATCGAGAGGGAGGTCATCACGCACTATACTGACGTTGATCACGGTACATTGTCCCGCCGCTCGTGCCATGTGCCGCCGACAGAGTTGGACTAATCCGCGTTTCCAGGCGTCATTCGGGCGAGGCCGCCCTCACCACGGCCGCACACCCACCGCGAACGCGAGACCGACATCGACATCTCCCTCTCCAAAAACAAGACCGAGGTCGACGTCGACATCCACCGCTCCCCCAGCCGTCACCGCAGCCGCAGCCACGAGCGCCGCTCGCACTACCACGACGACGAACTCATTGTCCGCGACGGCATGGACCGCCTCCGCATCGACGACGGGCGCCGCTCGCACCGCCGCGCCCGGTCCGCCGCGCCCATGGCGTCCCCCGTCGACGAGGAGGCCGAGTACATGACGGGCAGGATCGACGCCCGCGGCCGCATGGGCGAGGCGTGGCACGGCCACACCAAGGACTGGACCATTGTCGACGTGCCCCCCGGCACCGAGAGGGTGCGCATGGACGGCGTGGGCGGCGCCAGCACCGAGACCAACTGGTCCAAGTACAGCGGCGTGCGCCGGACGACCTTTGTCCCCGAGCGCGACGGGCAGCTCGTCGCCGTGCCGCGCGCGCCGTCTCCCCGGCCGGCGCCCGTCCCCGTCGTCGGCAGGGACCACACCAGCGTCACCGTCTACGACCGCGACCGCGAGATCGACGTCGACGTCGACATTGACCGCCGCCCGGGCAAGCCCAAGCCCGCGCCCCCGCCGCTTCCCACGCGCGACATGTGGACCGAGATCACCAAGGACCTGGTGTGCCGCGAGGCCATTGAGCAGATGGGCTATTCGTACGAGGAGACCAAGTGGTTCTTTTACATTATGGAGTATTTGCAATACGTGAGTCTCGACATTGATGTCTTGTCCACCCCCTTGGCACTTTTCCCTCTTATCCACCTCCCCCTGTTTTGTTCCCAAGGTCCTTGTGTATCCGTCAGTCACACGGCGAGGCTAACACCCAGCTTCCCCCCTTCCAGGACGAGGTCTTCCAGCTCACGCAGCTGACGGAGCGGATTCGCCGCCACCGCCGGCACCACAGGGAGGTGGAGTGGGAGCGCGACTACAGGGACGACTGGCACCACCGGTACAGGCGGCACCACCGCCCGCGCCACGAGTGGGATGACGAGCGCGTCAGGGAGCGCGAGGTCGTGTACGAGTCTCGCGGGCCGGCGAGGGGATACTTTCGATAAGGGGGCGTTTCCGGCGCGGGGTGTATATGGCGAAGGGGGGGGGGTTGGGAGGAGGGCAAGCTGTTTTTTATGAAGTTACGATGCATGACGGCGCGGTTAGGATAAATTGATGCTGAGTTTGGCCCTGCGCTGCGTCTGGGTGCTGGCTGCTGGTGCGTGGTGTGACTGGCGAGCAGGGTAGCATGGAAGCCTCCGCCTCAACTCGTAGGCTTGCTCGGCGTCACGCACCGATAATGGCTTCAATATTCCAAGGCGCCGTCCGACTGCGCCGTCGGCTCTAAACTGGGCACCGACGTCCGAGTGTGTCGGGCTGTGCTTGCGCTGCCGAGGACAAGACGGGGCATTCATTGTGCCGTTTTAGCTGCTAATGCCTTCATTCATGCTGGGGAGCGTCGAGGTTGTCGATCCAGGCTAAGGAACGCACGCCGGGTCAAGGCCGCAATCTGCACGAGATGATGGCGTGTACTGGTGCCGCTGACGGGTGACGGGTCCGTCGTGCTGGCGTCCCAAGAGTGAAGGGGCTAGGGGGTAGGCAGATGATTTTCCTCGGGTCGGGATCGTGTATACGAAATGCCTACATCTCGGCCTGCCCCGTCGCCACGAGGGACATCGGAGTGTGTATGTATGGTCGATGCTCGTGCGGGCATGAGAACGCATTGAGTACAAAGAGAGAATGGGGTCGTCGCCGGGTGGAATGACTGCTGTGTGCGACGCGTGCTCCGTCTAGTAGCAATGCTCTGTGCAGTAAATATTTTCCTGGGTGGCATGGCGGTTTTGTGTGCGGCAAGTATGTATACTCTGCAATGACTATTTTTATGCAATGACGGCTTTCTGTGCCATCACTGGGCTGTCTACGACTGTGGTCTGCCGTATTTTCGGCCGGGCAGTTGACATGCTGGGACGTGTGTACGGGAGCATTTGAACCAGACTCGACTCGACTTTATCCAGGGGCTGGTTTGAACCGGTACTGACTTATTGGAAACCAGCTGTTTTGCAAGCCATCAAATGCCAAACTCTCAAGTGCAGGCACTATAGAATATTGAAGCTATGTTGACCGTGTACGTAGTAGGTACATGTATTGACCCTTTACACCTGGTTCCTCTGTACCTTCGTATCAGCACACTGAGACCACGCGAGAAAAAGTTTTATATTACAAGCGGAGTCAGGTTCGCGGACCATTTCATTGTCTCAGCTGGCAATAAACTACGGAGTAGTATGACAGAATACCTGGCTGGTTTAGGGGGGGAATGGGGGACTGTCGTAATACCAAGTATAAAATTTGTGCTGCTTGCGCCGGTTGCCGTGGAAGCAGTGGGCGCGGCTGAATTACAAAAACAAAACGAGTCCCCATAAACAAAAACACTGCTCTGACGCCAAGGAGGCTCATGCGTCAGTATATAATACAATGGCCATGTCGAGAGATCCATCACAAAAGGCTTCGATGCGATTCCGAATTACATACCGAGTAGCTACATGTGTGTGTATTGCCACGCAGCAACTGCCCAGCAGGCATTAGGGCAGAGTACATGTAGCAGGAACCTGCAGCTGGGCCGGTAGCTTGCCCGACACTACGACCTCTGCCAGGTGGTTTCTGTCTGTCTGGTCGAGGTGTCTGGCGTGCTGGACACCAAGCGGGAACAATGACGCGCTACGGGGACACAGTGCCCGTGAGTGACGGGGGGAGATGGGCAGCGCTATTTTGGATCTGACGGGCGCCGGTTGTCTTTTTTGTGTGGTGCACTGGCAACCGGGCGCTGCTGGTGGCGGAGAGAGTGGGCGGGAAAAAATATCCTCCCGCACCTTGTTTGTCATGATGGCGACTGTCATTGGCTGGCGTAGCCCCGTTTTGGAGCCGGATGAGGTTGCACAGTGAGACATTCATGACTCGCACGGGGTTCGGGCGGGCGGTTTGGCAGCATGGCCTTGCCATGAAGGCTTGTGTTGGGCCGACGATTCGGACTTGTGCCGCGGTGAATTCTTGACAGGTGGCCGACGAAAACAGAGTCTGGTCCAGATAGATTACTAGGCATGGATATGGGGCTGCTGGTTCAATGTTGGTGTGCATCGCATCCCCGCTCTTCCTATCGACGGTTGTGTACGTACTCCATAGAAACTTGCCATATCTTGAGAAGGGATATACTGGTATGGTGGGAGCGCACAACTGTGCAGCTGCTCGAGCGAGTTCGAGTGAGATGAGAGGGTGGTATGGAGCAGTGGATAAGTGGGAATGACTGCCGGTTGGTCGTGGGAATTGCATGGAGCGCCCATGTCGATGCAGACTTTCTGCATTGTTGGGGAGGAGGGGAAAAGTGTGGACACGATAAAAGGCAGAGTGTAATGCGGCAGCAGCGTGTTTCTAGTGCAAACTTCCCCCAACGGCCATGCTGCTATGCGTGGCTCGTTGCAATAGAGACTCGTATGCATGTCGCGGATCGAGCCAGGCATTTTCAGACGCCAGACGCCAGACGCCTCAATCTCCCCCTGACAAAGGGTTCCGTCTGTTGATGATGTTGAACGATGCTGGTTCCATGTCCTGGCCCGTGGCACAGGGCTTCTCCGCAGAACGGCCCTGGGGCTACCTCTGGCGTCGGGGCTCGAGACGTCTGGTGTGTGTTGGCCGCAGACCGCCTTCCGGACGCACATTCATGGCGATGGGTCCCCTCACTGAGCTTGTGAGGCTGGCGGTTGCCTTGATCGACGGCAGGCACATGGTCCGGCTCGGCCAGTGGCCATCATTGATGTCTGGCACGCTGGACACCGCCGCTTGGGCAGCCTGGCTGCTCGGAACATTCGAGGGCGGCAGGTCGAAGGGTTCCTACAGCGGTGTGACACCCCCTGGGCGGCGCCCGGGCGCTTGAACCACGCCTGTACTGTGTACTAAGAATCGTCCCAGGTGCCTGCATGTGCAGCGCTGGCTCGGGACTCCCCTCATTGATTGACTGCATATGCCAGCTCCTCCCATACTTATGTTTACATGTAACAAGTACCTAGTTAGGCTTCCCTCGAAACTCTGACCTTTTTGATTCTTGTCCTTCCAACTTCCATCTTCATCCAATCCTTTAATTGCATCTCTTCTTTCCCCTTTCCTTGCTCCGTCTTTACCGGGCACAATTCAAAGCTGCAAACGAGTCTGTCAGAACGCACGGCCAGCAACTCGACCAGATTTACGCTCTTGTTTATTCCCACAAGGACCATCCAGAAGACGCCCCCCCCCAACACCCCCCCCCCCCCCGCCGCAACCGTCAGGTTCGCCCTGCCTGCCCTCCTGCTCCTCTGGCAGTTGTCGTCGTTGACGTTACCTCGACCGAGAAGAGAAAGGGAACCAAAAAAAAAAAGGCGAACCTGCCAGGCCTGCATACCAGCACGCGGCCATCCACCATCTACCGGCGACCATCCACATCCACGTCCACCACTTGAGGGCAGAAAAAATAACCCCCCCACCCGCCGCGTTTGGGGTCTCCGCCTTTGCCTACTCACACGTGCGACTTGTGGCCGGCCTCTGGCTTCCTTTGAAACATCACTACAATTCTCAACACCACAACAAGCCGCATGACGAGACGCTCTGCGACCTAAAATCATGTCGAGCTCAGAGATTAATCAGGTGCTCGCCAACTCGCTGTCTCCGGGTAGGTTCACACCTCCACTGCCCATCTTTTGGATTCCCCTGGATTCTGGCAACCCCTCGCTTGCCTCAGCGGTGCCCTTTTCTGCTCCCAGAGGGCGGCAAGTCCTTGTTTTGCGTTTGCGTCGCCTTCGTAGCCCTTGGCCGCTATCTGCCTAGACATGTTGTATTCCAAGGTGTGATTGCGTCTTGCTGACAGAGTTCCTTGCACAGACGCGAACCTACGAAATGCTGCCGAGCAGCAGCTTAACCAGGCTGCGGAGAGTAACTTCGTAAGTTGCCGGATCACCCCCTCCCTAATTTGCCCCTTGTCGAGCTTCATGCCTCCCCTGGCTCCTCGTACTGACTGAGTCTACGCCTCAATATAGCCGCTTTACCTGGCGACCCTGGTACAAGAACTTGCCAACGAACAAGCAGAGGGCCCCATCCGAGTTGCCGCCGGTTTGGCCCTGAAGAACGCTTTCACAGCCCGAGACTTTCAGCGTCTGCAAGAACTTCAAACCAAGTGGCTACAACGGACAGACGAGGATACCAAGTCGCGCGTAAAGCAACTCACCCTGCAAACTCTTTCGTCCAACAATGCCCAAGCCGGCAATGCTGCTGCCCAAGTCATCTCCTCTATTGCTGCCATCGAGCTGCCTCGCAACCAGTGGACTGACTTGATGCCCTTTCTGGTCAAAAACGTTACCGAGGGCGCCGATCACCAGAAACAGGCCTCTTTAACCACCATTGGTTATATCTGTGAAAGCTCCGACTCGGAGCTTCGAGTTGCTCTAGTCTCTCACTCAAACGCCATCTTGACCGCTGTCGTTCAAGGGGCCAGGAAAGAGGAGGCCAACAATGAGGTTCGATTGGCCGCTATTACCGCCCTTGGCGACTCGTTGGAGTTTGTGAGTAGCAACTTCAAACATGAGGGAGAGCGAAACTACATCATGCAGGTCGTCTGTGAGGCCACTCAGGCCGACGACTCGCGTATTCAGCAGGGCGCCTTTGGCTGTCTTAACCGAATCATGGCTCTGTACTACGACAATATGCGCTTCTACATGGAGAAGGCTCTGTTTGGCCTGACTATTCTTGGAATGAAGTCTGACGACGAGGATGTTGCCAAGCTTGCTGTCGAATTCTGGAGCACTGTCTGTGAGGAGGAGATCAACATCGAGTATGACAACGCCCAGGTTGAGCGTTCAGACCAGATGCGCAACTTTTACAACTTTGCACGCGTTGCTGCTAACGAGGTTGTCCCCGTGTTATTGTCGCTTCTTACGAAACAGGACGAAGACGCCACTGACGACGAGTACAACATCTCCCGCGCTGCCTATCAGTGCTTGCAGCTCTACTCACAGGCCGTTGGTGCTAGCATCATCACCCCAGTCTTGCAGTTTGTTGAGGCAAACCTGCGCTCCGAGGATTGGCACTTCCGCGACGCTGCTGTCTCGGCTTTCGGCGCCATCATGGAGGGCCCAGATGAGAAGGTCCTGGATCCCATCGTCAAGCAGGCTCTTCCTATCCTGATCACCATGATGGATGATCAGTCTTTTCAAGTCAGGGACTCCACAGCCTTCACTCTGGGACGTGTTACGGATGCGTGTGCAGATGCTATCGATCCCGTCCAGCAACTCCCTACTCTCATCGAGTCATTATTCAAGGGCCTCATGAGCAACGCCAAAATGGCTCCTTCATGCTGCTGGGCTCTCATGAACCTGGCTGAACGATTCGCTGGCGATATCGGCGCTGCTTCCAACCCCGTGACGCCTCACTTCAACCAGGCCGTCAGCTCACTGCTCGATGTCACGGCCAGACAGGACGCCGAAACTTACGTGCGCACCGCCGCCTACGAGGTGCTCAATGTCTTTGTGCAGAGCTCCGCTTCAGATAGTCTGCAGGCCATTGCCTCGCTATCCGATGTCATCATCAAGCGTCTGCAAGAGACTGTTCCGCTACAGTCCCAGGTTGTCAGCGTAGAGGATAAGATTACCCTCGAGGAGATGCAAAACAGCTTGTGCACGGTCTTGCAGGCCATTGTCATTAGACTTGATAAGGATATCGCGCCTCAAGCTGATCGTATTATGGAGATCTTGCTCCAGATCCTCAACAGCGTCGGAGGCAAGTCTAGCGTCCCCGAGGCTGTTTTCGGAACAATTTCTGCCCTCTCCACAACAATGGAGGAGGACTTCATCAAGTACATGGATGCGTTTGCTCCTTTCCTGTACAATGCTCTAGGAAACCAGGAAGAGCCCAGTCTCTGCTCCATGGCTATTGGTCTGGTCAGCGATATCACCCGCTCCATGGGAGAGCGCAGCCAGCCATTCTGCGACAACTTCATGAACTATCTACTTAACAACTTGAGGGTATGCAGATCTATTCGCCGCCAGCCCACATTATATTACTTATCCGGCTAACCCTTGTTTCTTAGAGTACCGCTCTCTCCAACCAGTTCAAGCCTGCGATCCTCCAATGCTTCGGCGACATCGCCGGTGCCATTACTGGACATTTTGAGACTTATTTGTCTGTCGTGGCTCAGGTTCTGGAGCAGGCCTCAACGGTCACTGCTACACCCGACGGCCCCATTGAGATGGTTGACTACGTGATTTCTCTTCGTGAAGGTATCATGGATGCCTGGGGTGGCATCATTGGTGCCATGAAGTCTAGTGGCAAGAGTAGGTGGCAGGCCCCTGGCATTTGTGGTTTACCATCTTTTACCATCGTCAGTTTGCTAATCCCTTCACAGCGCAAGCTCTGCAGCAATACGTCCCTGCAATCTTCAACTTGCTTGGCCAGATTGCCAACGATACCATCCGAAGCGAGGGATTGTTGCGTGCGAGCATGGGCGTTATTGGGTATGTGTGACTAGGCCTTTGAATATGTACCTGGATACCCGCTAATCTCGTCGTAGTGATCTTGCTGAGGCTTACCCCAATGGTCAATTGGTGGACGCATTCCGCCAGGAGTGGCTGACGGCCATGATCAAAGAGACCAAGACCAACCGCGAGTTCAAGCCGCAAACCATTGAGACTGCTCGCTGGGCTCGGGAACAAGTCAAGCGTCAGCTTGGAGGTGCTCAAACCGTAATGTCTTGAGCCACTCCTTTCGACACAACCGACCAGGAAGAGTTTTGAATCACGGACCAACAGTCAAGACTCCCCCCCTCAATGTCCTTGCGATGCCGCCTTGGTCCCCACGACTTCGAAAGAGGTCAATGGTCCACGCCACGGTGCCAGCGGCACCACCGCCATGCCTGAAACGCCACCTGCAAACACATTACCCAACAACACGATTCCTACGACCCTTTCACGTGTACATAGAACCCCCCACGACACTTCAGTAATCAAAATACCCCCCCTTCACCAATACTACGATATTGATTCCCCCCATGTCTTCAAATGCCCTCGTGTTCTAATTTACAGACACGCATCTACCATTATCATTTCCCTCACCCCCCCAATCCCCTTTCCACCTCACAACCCCCAACATATTGCCCACTACACATCTTTTGTTTAATTACCTCAAGCTACAACGAAGGGATAGAGAAGTCATGTAAAGCCCCGCATGGAATTTTTCTCAAAAAAGAGAGCGGCGGCACGTTATAAAGTCATGTAGAGAGGAACAGGGAGTACAGGCGGCAGGTTTCTACTCTTTGGTCAGTTTTTATTTTATCTTATTATTTTTTTTCTCCCCTCGCCTCGGGCTCAAATATCGGCTTTTTGTCACGTTCTATATGATATTTTTTTTCATTTCTTCCATTGTGTTTTTCTTGCCTCATGTTATTTGCGCTAGACGCCCTTCAAGTGAATGGGATCCTTCTAGAGCATATACGCAAAAAGCCGGATCTGGGATTACAGCATCATCAGTCAGAGAGAGGTGTGTTGTGGATGAATACGAAGATGTTGCATAGGGGTGTGTCGGTGAAAGATATGGAAAGGCTGTGGAAACGGAGAGAGCGCATGATTTGATTTGCCTCGATGGGTATTTTGGCGAGCGTGTGCTGGTGGTATTAGACTTGGCATCAAGTGATGCTTGTCGAGACGCAAGCTACACGAACAGTTCAATAAGAATAGTTGGTCCACTCTCGTTGTCATGTGCTTAAATTTTTTTTTTTTTTTTTTTCCGTGACTGTGCAATTATCTGTCCATTGTAGTATCACGGCGTATGGCTAATCGAAAGCGGGTGGGGTCTGAAGATGAATAGGCTCGGCTGTCAATTCAATAGGCCATGTATGTGTTTCTACGGTTTATCTTTGGTACGCGGTATATATATATATATCGTGGAGCACGCCCTCTGGCGCCTCGGTCATGGCTCACCCGTCTCTCATTGCATCGTGTCCAGCCAGGCACTGCTGTTCATCCAAGCAGACGTCGCCCCGTCAATGTAAAACTGGAGTTCGCCCTCGAAACCATCCGTTCCAGGAACAAGTTGCGGGTTGAAGTTGCCCGCGCCATAATGCGGAGCCGGCGGGCCGGGATTGTTTGAGTCAAACGCTTCGATGAGCATGCTTAGGCTGTCGGCGTTTTGGCGGCCCATCGGGGTGTGCATGTACATATTGTGTGAGTTTGGTTGGGCTGCTGCGTGAGGGGGCTGGAGCTGGTTTGCATACGGGTGTGGGGAGATTGTTGCTGGTACTGGAAGGGTTGCGCCTGGGTAGCCCTGCGATTGATGGAGTTGTGGTTGGGTTTGTTGTTGCGGCGGAGAGGGTAACTGAAGGCTGGGAGCAGGATTAGATATAGCGCTTTGGTGGTGCGGTGATCCGATGGATGACGAGGGCGGTAGTTCAGGCTGGGTTCCTGGTCGTGGGAGGATGTTTGGTCCGGGTAGAGTTGGAGGAGGCGCAGGGGGTAGAATCGGTTTTGTGATGGGGAATAGGGGTGGTAATTGTCGTGTAAAGCGAGGGATGGGGTCTTTCCCGTCGTCCATGCTTCCTTCATTGCCAAACGTGGCCGACTGCGGATCGAGGGAGAACTTCTCGAGGGCTTCTACCCAGCGTGCTGCTAGGGGCCATACTTCTCGGCATTCTTTGAGGATATTGATTGTTCTTTGGAGCATCATAGGTCCGTCACGGACGAGGGCTTTGTCCTGGCAGACTGGTGGGTTTGGTGTTGGCTTGTTACATTTGTAAATCGAGAACGGGAGGGAGGTGAGAGGGAGCGGGGGCTTACTGCTTGGGTATTTGCAAAGGTAGGTTGAGAACAAGCCACAGCTATATACACAAAATGCGGCAATTTGGGCGCCGACGCTCTCATCCGGAGATCGGTTGGTGAATTGGGCATCGATTTGTTCGTACAGATATCGCACGTTGATGAAGATTTCGTTGGACATGTCTGTGAAAAATTTCGTGTGGCCCTTTTTGTCGGGTTTTATAATGCTGTATACTTGTTGTAAGTTTGTAAAAGAATGCCTGGGGGGATGGTTACAGATACGGCGTAGGGAGGGCAACTGACTCTATCAGATATGGTCTACGAAGAACGATGTTGGACAAGCGCGTCATCATTGTCACGCACAAGTAGGCCAATTCCTGGCTTTCCGCCTTGTACCGTTGGAGAAGATAGGTGCTCCATCTATGTTCCTGAGGTAATTTCTCTTCCCACTCTCTCAGCTTTTCGGCCGTTTGCGAGAATTCACTCGTTGGGTCCCAGGGACGCGGACTCTTGCTGAACCTGACGGCACGTCGTCCAACTACGCCCCACCAAGAGTGAATCTGCATCAGCGTTGCAAAGAGCGAACGGTTGGAATCTCGTATTAGCTCCGGGTTGTCCATAGCGGGCGGTGTCCCTTCCAAAGCAGCTCGCGATCTTGGTTCATGTCCATTTGCAAAGTCCTCTTCGTTGCAGGGTAGAAGTGTCGTGATGTCACCTGCGGACAGCGACACGGGAGACAGGGGCCCTGAATGTAAATTGTCTTGGCTGTGTAACATCCACTAACAAAGAAATTAGCTGCCATGTCGGGGGAGGGTTAAATGGCAAGATTGCCTAAAATTCAGCGTCTTACAAGTGTTCGTCTTGCGGATTCGGCGCGTATGATGAGCTCAGGTGTTGGGTTCGGAATATGATACGTTTCCTCTCGCTGGAGCTGCATGAGAATGGCCATTCGGATGGCAATGCCCATATTAATCTTTGGCAACCCTGGTTAGCACTGGCCGGGGCATATCAGGGCAGCTAATGGTCAAATTACTTACATAGCTCCTGTTGCGCTCACCACTGCCTTGTTGGGCAATGCTTAACAAATAAAAGGCTTGGCATCTTTCTAGTGTAGGTTCTTGGTACACCTCTTCGAACGCAATCGACGATGCCCTTTCCATAAAGTACTCGGCAGCTTTCACACCGGTCCCATATCGTAATTTGAAGGCAGGACTGAGTCGAGCTGAAATGCTGAGAATGCCCATGAGTAGAAACAGGCTAGTTGAGCGCGAATCCTTACGCAGACGCTCCGGATACTGCTCCTTGGGAATAAAGCCGAGTTGAAAGTACTGTTTTGTGAAAAGATTGACGCCGTCAATGAGCTCCTCGAGAGGGGGGAGATTCTCCCAATTATCAGCCTGCCGTTGTTGAGGTACAAGTGAGCCATCTGCATTACAGCGACGTGGCTTGGAGCTGATCGAACCACTTCTCGTAGTCTTTTCGGCTCTCGTGCGAGGGTGTCGATACTCACGATCCAGATCAGGTTGTCCCCTGACTGGAAAGATGCTGTGTAAAGGGAGCGGGGTGTTAGAGATGGGAATTAGGCGAGGAACATTCGGCGCAAGTGTAACTAACCATTCCTCTGCAGGTATGCCCGCTTCATGACAGGACTTGCACGGAGGCTTGCCCTTCTCGTGAACGCACTTGCTTCTCATCCGGCGACATCTGCATATTGATGTTAATTTTTGTTGGTATACGAATCAAATATAATGTTTCGGTCTGACCTTCGGCATGCGATTGGAGATCGGCGTTTGATTGCCGGAGCTTGGCCTTGGCTGGCGACAGAAGCTCCGCCGTCTACGCTCAAAGGACTTGCCGCTGAGCCCGGCGCAGCTGAATTATTTGAGGCATTCGAGGTTGCAGACGTAGACCCGTTGCTCATCCCAAAGGTATAGGCATGATTCACCCCGGCAGGCCCAGCAGGCCCAGCAGGGTCCATCTCCTTTGCCGGAGATCCAGCGGAGGACCAGCGGGAATACTTGTAGAAGACGGAGTGCTCAGCGTGGTGTACAGAAGTGGGCGTCTTGGCTTCAGACACAACGGGGAGTGGCCTCGCTTTATTTCGCGTGTGGATTCTATCTTGGGTCCAGGAGCCTCAAGCCTAGAGACTGATCGGCCTGGCCCAGCCGGCACCGACGAAGAATCAATCAATTCTCGTCCTTGAGCTTAGTATAACGGAAGCCAGGTCACCAGTTGTAGCCTCGCTCTTGATCCAAGTTGCAGGCAGCACGGGGATAAGAGGGCTGGGCCGAGATTCATCTATGATCTAAAAATCATGTGATATCCTTCAGCTTCAGCTTCTCCCGTTTCGAATGGAATCGTCCCTGCTGCGGCTGTGCTGCTCTGCTGGTTCTCGGCGAAGATGATCAGTATGGGCTTAATCGGACGAAACTCTTGGCTAGCCACGCCGGGGATGGCCAGGCTTTTTCTTCACCACTAGTTTTGGAGTGCGGAGGCTGAGGACAGCCGTCCAAAGTGTCCAGAGTTCGCTTGGCTTGCTGCATGGAGTACAAGGACGCAATAGCGCAATCTGCAAGATGCAGTCGAAAAGAAGTACCAGTCGACACTAGCCTGTCTGGGATAGTTGCTGTGTCACTCCGTACTAGTATGTGCAGTTGATGACGCCCCATCAGACACACACTGCTGATAATGATATCGAAGGGCATGTGCCGGCATTGGCGGCGCCATTGTCCCGTCTGACAGCCTTCATCGAGCCAGCAGTTTAATATATTCCATGTTGGGTCCGGGGTCACATCCTGGCATCGTTCAGCCACAATCTGTCTGGTATACAACACTCCTTACAGTTTGGGAAGCAGTAATTTGACCAGACCAGGCCCTTGGCTTATCAGGCGTTATGGTATTAGATGGTATGCTATGCTATGCTCCGTAGTTGAATGCTATAACACCATGGTTAGCAAAAGCGAAAAAAGTTGAAAAAAAATTATGGGAGCAAATTATGCCCCAAGCCCCCCAGGTTTTGCAAGTCGACCTTTGTGTGGCTCTTGCTGGTAGTAATAGATCCGTCAGTACTCAGCCAGTGCGCTCCCACAGCTTGACTTTGATATCAATTGATGTTCCACTTTACTCAGTTCAGCCTGAGCACTCCATTACAGTGGCTGCTGTTGGCAGGCCAGCCACCGCTTTGTTCTCTGTCGTCTGCCCCAGCCACTTGTTGGTAGCCTTCAAGTTGCCCAGGATGCTATAACAGCTCCCACAGAACAATCTTCTTAGTGGTGTACGGAGTAGGCGAACTCCATCCATTTGAGCCAGTACTCCGTGGACGCGCCATAACCGGGCCTTTCTTTGCGTACACAATCCCGAAGCTGTCTGTTCATGCTTGATGTAAATGTCTGTATGGCAACCAAGACCATCTGGTCGTCTTGCCAGCGGAGCCACGGCGGCAGCCTCTGTGCGTTGCGCGGACCCTCTGAGTGACAGTGTCTAACGCCACCATTTTCATGCATTGCTACCCTCCGCCTGGCAGGATCGTCCTGCGTTGGGAAAAAATTAGCCGCTTTCAAACTCCAATCTTTAGGCCACGGAGAGCTAACACGGGGTACTAGCCACTTTCCATGTGGACAGAGTCGTACAGATCTCCTCCTAATCTGGAGAAACTGACGGGGACGCTCTTGTATCAACTGAAGTCCCGGAATCATCCTAGATGGACCAATCAACCTGAAGCCCAGATGGAGGGTAATGTGATGATACGTCCCTGTGGACAAGGGCTTTCGGGCCATGAACCTCTCGATCACGACGACCCACTACTAGTACTTCAGTCGATCATGTTGTGCCTTCGTCCTGGCCAGGGCAACCTTGCCCATACCACCCACGCATTGTGTGCGCCCCAATCCTCAATCCTCAATTGACGGAGCTTGAGTGGTCAGGTGTGGCCCGGAACCTGAACACTGACTGGTTCGAGCCTGGAGAGACGGTCTATTATCGTGAGAGATGGCAGATGGTGCGGAGAAATTGAGAGGTCCATACATACCTCGTCATCCACCGGCAGCGGCATAAGGCTCGATGAGTCGATGCAGCCACCGCCGCCCGACGTACCGAGAGTACCAGTCAAATTGACGTGCCAATCAACAGCTGCAACAGAGTTGGTGGCGGTGGTTTGATTGAGGTTATCATCAGAAGGAAAGCATTCGAGAGCCAATTCCACGAAATTGGACAAGGGAAATTCTCTAATGATGACGGCGTGTGACACCACCAGACTGTTGGGCTGTTAAACGGAGCGGCAGGTGCGATCCGGGTCCTGACGGCATGCCGAGAGAGGCTGGTGCCTAGGGTAGGTAGGTCTATGCTTTGATTTTTTTTTTTTTTTTTTGCCTCCTGCTGTTCCAAAGAATTGATACGCCTGCCTTTCTATAATTGCGAAGTCAAACATTGTGGGCTCGAGATTGTTGGAACCTACATACATACATACATAATAGTAATAATAATCTTGGCCCTGCCGCCATCTGAAGCTTCATGGTGGAGTGGCGCCCACCAGACCTGCTTAGCCATATCGCAGTAATTGGAGAAAAATTTCGCTCGCTGGGCGCCAAGGCCACACGACGACCGACGACCGACGACTCATCGACCATCACGAGTCTCAGCTAGTAAGCACAAAAATACACCAATTACATGTAATTGATTCTCGGTCCCTTCTCTAATCTTCACATCTAACAATACTGCAGTTGTAGCCAATCTCTGTAATCGTATCCTCAAGACAGTGCCCGTCCATCTGCGGCACATCGCCACATCTCACCATGGCCGCAGCCCTCACAACCATCTCGCTGCCGTCGCTGCAGAAAATTGCATCCGGCAAAGTCCGCGATCTCTTCAGCCTCCCCGACCCCAATGCCCTGCTCTTCGTCGCATCAGACCGTCTCTCCGCCTTTGACGTCGTCATGACCAACGGCATCCCCAACAAGGGAGCCATCCTGACGCTCATGTCGGCGTACTGGTTCCGCGTGCTGTCTGAGCGCATCCCCAGCCTCCGCACACACTTCATCAGCCTGGATGTTCCCGCGGGCATTCCCGCCGAGGAGGCCAGCGTCGTCAAGAACCGCAGCATGCAGGTGCGCAAGCTGCAGGTGTTGAAAATCGAAGCCATCGTGAGGGGGTACATTACCGGGAGCGCGTGGAAGGAGTACCAGGCCAGGGGGACCGTTCACGGGCTCGCCATGCCCCAGGGCATGCGGCTTGCTCAGAAATTCCCCAGCGCCATTTACACGCCTAGCACCAAGGCGGAGGCGGGCGCGCACGACGAGAACATCCACCCCGACGATGCGTGGAAGGAGATTGGCGACAGGGAGACTGCCAAGAAGGTCGAGGCGCTGGCTTTGACAATCTACAAGACCGCCGCTGCGTATGCGGAGGAGCGTGGCATTATTATTGCCGACACCAAATTCGAGTTTGCCAAGGATGCCGAGGGCAACATTTATCTCGTGGACGAGGTGTTGACGCCCGACAGTTCGCGGTTCTGGAGAAAGGATGGGTATGAGGTGGGAAAGGAGCCAGACAGCTTCGATAAGCAGTTTGTGAGGAATTGGTTGATCAAGGAGGGGCTCAAGGCCAAAGAGGGCGTGACGCTTCCAGAAGATATTTGTGTTGCTACGGGAGAGAAATACAAGGAGGCGTTTTACCTGTTGACGGGCACCAAGTTTGAAGATGCGGCTAACAACTAGTTATCCTGGCAGGTCAAATGACTAGGCTGTGTCGGGGTAATGATTATAATTAGATGGAACTTTTTCGAGTCTTTATGTGTTGCTTCTAGATGGTTGTTTTCCCATTGCAGTCTATAATATGAATCACGATGACGCCCACCTCCAGTTATGCTGTGTAAGCAGGCCTTCTTTCACGTCACCAGTTCTCATTGGGAAATGGTCGTTTTAATCCTAGGCTCGGTCAGCAATCCCTGTTCAAAAAAGCACCCCAGTCTGCCCAGCAGAGCACAGCGAAAGGATGTAAATACCTCTTGATGCCTTCCTTTACAATATCGGGATCCTGTGTATAAACCATCCGAAACCAGCCCGGCTTGAGTGAATGTTCCTCCCTTGGATGCAAAAACACCCCATTGGCCATCAGCTTCTTGGCTAGAGCAAACTCGGCATTCGGCTCGCCGTCCAAGTCGGTCGGCAGATACGGCGACAAGTCAATCCACAAGAAGAAGCCGGCGTTGCTCCCCGCCAGATACTGCACGCCAATGTCCTTCAACCCCGACGTGGCAACGCCATACGCCTCCTTTAACTTGACCCGGTTGAGTTCCACAAACTCGCGGCACCACTTCCGATCTTCCAGCATGGCGGCGCCAATGGCAAGACTGGGGCCGGCCGGGTTGTGGAAGCGGATGACTCCCCGGATGGCTGCTTCGACGGCCTTGCTACGAGTGATGATGGCGCCGATGCGGAGGCCTGCGGAGCCAAAGTCCTTGCTGAAGCCGTAGGTTACGTGGAGGCGTTCGGTGTCGATGAGGCCCTCGGGGTCGATGGCAAGGATGGATGTGAATTCGGTGGCGGAGGGCTCGCCCGAGTCGAAGGTTGAGCAGGCGTAGATCTCGTCACTTATGAGGTGGATGTTGTGGCGTTGGCAGAATTTCATGAGAGCGACGAGGGTGTTTCGGGGATAGCATTTCCCTTTTCGAAGGGGCCCAGGAGATGACAAGTCAGATGATGCCGGTGAGATGATGGGTTGAAAGGCAGCGTACCTAGAGGGTTATGCGGATTCACGATGAGGACGGCTCTGATCTTTACACCCGCGGCCTCGGACTTGACCAGGGCGTCTTCAAACTTGTCGACAACGTCCTCGTCAAAGACATTTTCTGCGTCGGTGTCGGCGTAAACGACACTGACTTCGGCTCTGTTGCCAAAGTCTAGCTCGAATCGCCCGTACACTGGACGGCTTGTCATGATTCCGTCTCCTGGGTCGGCCAGCCCCCAGGCGAGGATTTCGTGCATCGGGGTGGCAGAGCCGGTGACCTTGATGTGATCAGCCGTGATGGGTGTGTACGGCCTCAAGTACTCATTGAGATGGACTGCTAGTGCTGTTGGAAAGCGGGCTCCGCCCGCAAGACTGAAGCCATATGTGAATTGCTGCGATTCGAATTTCACCTACATGCAGTGGTGGTGAGTTTAGGCGAATAGGGGCGCAAAATGCAAGATGAAATCATACGGCACTATTCACGAAGCTTTCCACATTGCTGGTGATTAGTTTCTATAAAGCATTTTAGTATTTTCACGTCGGGATAGCAATTCTATTTGATGAGGAATTGTTACATTCTCAGCGGTTCCGAACGAAATGAGGCCGTCCGGGTTCTTCTCAGCATCATACGTCTGTGAGGGTGCAAATCTCCAGGGTAAGCTTTGCTTCTCGAGAGAAGCCGCCGAACGTTTGGAAAGATAGGACTCCATTGTTTCAAAGGTGCTGGTGGCCAAAATAGGAGAAAACGGCAAGCATCTAATGCAATTGACCGCACTCGACTAACATACATGAAGAAACGAAGTGGAAGAAGAGGAAAGGGTGGGCAGAAACGTGCTCATGGCGCAGGTATGTACATCTCGCAAGACATGCAGTGCAGTCCACATCGGTGCCCGACGTTTGCGACTACCCGTACACCGGTTGTTCTGATGAGTCATGCTGTGGATCACCAGCAGCATTTTTATGGAGGGACGCTTGTCAATTGAAGGGCTTGGTTCTCTTGCCTTGCTACACGCAGGGCAGTCTTTTGCGTGACCGTGGGACGGGAGCCTGTGGCATTGTGGATTGTATCCGGATCGATGGCATGGTGGCTACATTTGCCGTGGTTGGTGTTTGGGCTCGACTGTGGTCAGCATCGCAGACCGTGTCTAAGCGGCATGTCTAAGCGGCATGTCGAATCGTCGCAGTGAAGAAATCTGCCGGATTTGAAAATGAATTTATAACCAAGTATTTCGAAAATTTCTCAACTCCAATACGCAATCATGATACTGATGCTAATTCGGGAGACAGTTGTACCATTGACCGTTTCCAACCATGTCTAGGGTTAGGGTTCTACACATGCACTTGCGTAGTCGACCAGGGAACTCTGACATGAGTTTCGAAGACAGGTAATACATTGCATCAATTGATGCAAAACATTATTGTGTTGCACAGTTATTCAACGCAAGAATGACAAGATGGCCAATAGGCATTGTTTGTGAATCTAGGATCGACGTATTATCTACTATAGCTGCCGGCTGTAAACGTCTACCTCGACAGCTGCCGATAAGAACCTGCCAGCTGATATTTAAGTCATAATAGACAGCTACTACCGTGGCGCGTCTGACCGCGTCATTTAATCCATCCCCAAAGACGGAGAATTTTTCTAATTTCCCCCATTTCTTCCAACAGCCCAACCGTAAAATATCACTTCATCTAGTAGTTCCTAGTATTGGTGCAGATCAAAGCTGGGAATTTATCGTTCCAACATCCCACAACATTCAGTCTTACCCTTATATAGATATACGATACAACCATCTCGGCTGACCTGAATCTCCCGATACATCAAGGTGATGTCCAGCGACGACCATGTTTTTCAGTCACGAGAGTACGTTTCACAAGGATGTCACTGGATGTCTAGTTACTAACCCGTTGCTAGTCTTAAGTAACAACCAATATGGTGTTGCAACAATATGGTACCATTTAGTACAGCCATGATTATCCCCAGAGTATTGCTAAGGTGTCCTAGGCTTGTCGCAACCGTTGGCAAAACCGGCCAGCGGAAGTTGAGTCGCAAGACCCTTCAAGACGTTGACATCCCCAGGGCATGCGAGAAGATTCTCGATCCTGGGGCCCCTCTTGCTTTACGACTTCAGGGGAACCTGCTATATGGAGTGTCACGGGTGTTTTCTCACCAGTGCAACTACGTTCTTTCGGATGCCGGGAAGACTCAATCGGATATGATGACCTTCTTTCGCTCCATGAATACAAGCGCGACGGATGAGAATGCAGGAAAGGCCAAGTAAGCGCCATTGGTATCCCTCATGTCCCAGAAAGAGAGTACAGTCAATCTAATCAGTAAAAGGCGACAACACATCACGCTCCAAGATGACCCCAGCTTCGACCCCATGGCGATGCTTCCAGGGCTGGAAAAGTTGCTCAACACCGAGACCCTCTTCAGCTTTACGGCAACTCAGGAATCGGCCGCCAAATACTCGCAGATGTCACCACTTGACAACGTCAGCCTAGCGAGTGCAACCACCAGTCGCCGCTCAAGCTTCATCGGCCTGGATATTCCTCTTTCATCACACTCTGTCGGAAGCTACCAACTTCCTGGTGACCTTGGCTGCTACAGTTCGCCCTTTAATAAGGGCATCCAGGAACCAGACAACATGCCCGAACTAGCCTCATTTGCAGACAATGAATTCGATCCAATTTGCGGCGTCGGCCTTGATTTTGATGCTGACGGCAACTTGATCGGCATACTTGACGATGAGCCTGAACTGCCACCCTTGCGTGGCACGAGTCCCGACCCTCTCCTCACGGCTGGTATTACGACGCCGAGACTTGAGGATATAGTGCATCAAGATAATCAGAACTTGGCGGAAGAGCCCATTCCTGGTCTCGGTGAAGCCGCACTGCCAGATGCAGAGCCGTTCGCAGTACCCCCAGCCGTCGAGGAACGCAACACCGACGCACCAACACTGACCACGGAGACCACAGAGACGGGGAAAGCCGCAGCTCCATACAGAGCTTCCCATCGCCGGAGGTTTCCAGAAATGCTTGACCAAGAACTCCGAGTCCCACGAGACGAGTTTCGTGGTTGGACCGAGGACTATGCGACAAACATGCTCGCTGCCCGCAACAAAATCAAGGCCACAACGCAAGCAAAAGCCAAACAAAACGCACTCGCGTTTCTCTACTGGAAGGGGATAGCACAGGTTGGCAATTTCCAGAGAGACTTCGGCGTCAACCACCCATTGGCACATGAATTCGCTGGCACAGCTCTAAAGGCTCACATCCTGGGGCTTAACGTAGACGACATTGAAGATATCAATCCGAAGAAGGGCAGACGCCGCAAGTCACCCGAAGCATTTGGGCACGGCAACGACAACACCAGAAACGTACGACAGCGTATAGACGAAGATGAGTTCGCGCGAGGAGAAGCCGCCGCGCCCGCGGATGGCCTCGACCTCGGCCACGACTCGGCCCCAGAACTAGGCCTAGAAGCCGGAGCAGCACTCGAGGACAAGCATTCTTCCTCTCTGATGCCCTGGAGCCGCCAGGGATCCGCGGCACCTGGATCGGCCCCGCGCGCCCCGGGAAGTGCTCACAAGTCCGTCGCGGCGCCCAGCCCCCTCCACGGCCGAGCAAGAGGAAGCCTCATCGGCTCCGTCGAAAGACAGAGCGACCCCATCGAGGGCTCTCTTGGAGTTGTCGGCTTCGACTCCCAGCTGTCCTCGATGGACTTTGACCAGGGCCTCCTGACGCTCAACCTCGGCGCCGCGGACGACACCCTCCCATCTACCCAGGGGCTAGACACCTCCAGCCAACGCTTCCTGACGTACGTTGCGAACCAGGTCGCGGCGGACGATGCCCTCGGAGCCCGCGGCCCTCAGCAGAAATACTGGATTGATTTCGACAGTCTTGCCAGTCCGAATGTCCACACCAAGGCCATTGCTGCACAGGCCTTCCTTCACGTGCTTTCCCTCGCGACCAAGGGCGTCATTTCTGTTGAGCAGGACGGCATCCAGGACAAGCAGCCCTTTGGCGCTCTCCGCGTCGGGCTTGCAGGCCACGTTCTGGACGCGGCTACCGCCATGCTTGAATGATTCTAGTTTTGGGAATGCCGCCTGCGGGACTCGCATTGGAGCTGCAACGCGTCCATCTAAACGGCAACTGATTCCCGACGTTCTCGGAGACTACGAGATTTTGCGTTACGTTTTTACTCTTTCTTTTTCATGATATGCTTTTTTCTGTTCTTGTTCTTATCTTCCGTTCTATTCGATTGATACTTTTTATTATCGCTATTCTTTAACTCTCGAGTTTGATTTTTACATGGGAGATGTAGTCAATCATCACCAGAGTTGGCGGGTGGTCAAGTTGACCTGATTCTGGGACTGGGACAATATTGGCGAATATTTTCAGATCATGGCGGGGATTTCATCGTGCGAATGACAAAATGAGGGGTTTGATTTTCCATTTTTGAGCATTCTCTACCCAACTCTATATCTGCGGGATGGGATGGGATGGGATAGTGCGATATATCAGGGCGCAATCGGCGCTCAAGTTGAATTTTTCTATTACTGGGAATGCCATCACATGTGGGTGGGGGGAGGGCTGCTGGTGGCATAATTATTCATTTGGTCACATAAACTCATGGGTGGTAAGCTATCTTAGTTAACGAATGCATCATCGTCGTCATTAACGCCTTCCCTATCCTCAAATTGCATGTAATTTTCTTCATCAGCCCCACCAACAAATTGCCATGCCTTTTTCACATACTGTAGGATAGAGTCGTTGAGAGCCAAATCGGGCGTTATCCAGTCAAAGGTTCCAATATTGTCTTCCGAGGCAAAGGAGCCTGTACCAGTTACTTGTTCATAATGCATCCGCCAGAGGCATTTAGGCGGCTCAGATGTTGGAATTGCGTTCAGGAAAGATGAGAGTGCATTACTCAGAAGACTCTTGGAAGTGGAGCTAGAGACTGTGCTCAGATACACGATGCCTGGTATTTTATCTCGTTAGCGAGCTGCGTTCGAAGAGACTCCCCAAGAATAATGAGCAATGAGATTGTGCAATCAGGTTGTCAGAGATAAGAATCGTCATTGTAATTCAGACAATGTAGATAAGTATTCGTTTTATTTGGCTCATCCGAACACGAACATAGGCATGAAAAATCAAGAGAGGGGAAGTACTCACATTGTCCGGCTGGACATTCACCAGTATCACTGGAATGAACCAAGGCATAAATGGGAAACCCAGAGGCAGTGCCATCATCAGTTGAAATGGAACCGACAGGGAATGCTACTACTGCTGCGCAAGGTGTTGGGGCACCCTCAACGACGACTTGCAACATGCTGGACACGGGGCAGTTGACAACAGCGATGAGTCTGCTGAGAAGGACACTATCGGTTGAAGTCTCTTTGGTGCTTTGGACTAAAGTTTTTGACTTTACGACCACGCCGTTGGCGAGAGAAACTTGGACATTTGTCTCGCCGTCAGAATCCATGCGCTGCACCTCGGAGATGCCAGTCCCCAACATGTAAACAGCGCCGCCAACAGCACCGGCACGACAACCTACCTGAGCCACTTCCGACAGGCCCCCCCATTTGGGATATACGGCCGCGAAGCCTGCTCCGAACATGCCCATAGAGGTAAGATGACGATGAATAGCGGCCAACCCATCGCCTACCGAGATTTTGCCATCTGCGGAGAGAGTCAGGGTGACGACGTATGACTGCAAGTCACCATCCAATTTGAATTCCCTTTCCAGGAACTCGGCAAGTGGTTCTGATTCGCTCGGTTTCCACAACTCAGCCTGCGACTCGGTGTCATAATCAAGAACAAACTTGAGAAACTTCATCAACGAGCGCTTCGCACGAGCTGGAATAGTGGTATTGGAGAAGACATCCTCTCTCGTGGACGGTATCCGACTGAGTGTTGGCTCTGAGGATGCCCCAGCGGCCTGATAGATGAAGAACGACCCGACGGCCAGGAACTCGATCTGCCGAAAGGCCTTCGACGAAACCAACTGGTTAACCAACTCAGATTGTGCGAGGATCAGCTGCGGAGCTAAAGGAATATTATACGATCGTGAAGCTGCAAGACCTTCACTCTCCTTGGTGATCTGCGCTCCAGCAAACGGAGTGGCATCCGGACCGCTGTGCCTCGCAGCCCAGTCATCCGCCTCCTGAAGACTCAACGCAGCCTCGGCACCGCCATAGTACTCGTTAGGGTCGACGTGGAGGACATTCTTCCCCGACCGCGAAAGAGCTCTTTTGCAGATGGTCAGCAACAAGGCCTAAAGTCAGTTAGACTGATTTGGGGAGGAAAGAGCATAGCCAATGGAATCCAAGAAGCTTACAGGGCCAGAAGGGACTGCTGTAGCCCTGTGCCGCTGATCACTACATCCCACTGTGTGTCTGAGAGGGATTCCATGGTGTGGAGGATGTGAGGGAGGCGGGTGATGGAGAAGAAAGTTGAAGCATTTTGTTTTGCAGATCGGATGGAGGGTTTTTGCATGCCGGGCTCGTGAGTGGTGGGGGTTGGTCGCGTTTGGCTTAGTGGCTTTGTGTGGTAGGCGAGTACTTGTCTGCGGGCCATCAATTCCCACTCCAAAGTTTTTTTTTCCTTCTTCATTCACCCGCTCTTCTCAACGACCAATGCATTGTGTACCGCTGTGTATGTCGCATTGCGCGTCAAAAATTCATGCAATTTTACAAGAGCGGCAGATTAATTTGTCGGCCGGTATCTACTGCCCTAGAATAACGCCTGAAAGGGTAGTTCGAATGGTTGACACATGCCTCATCAGCTGTCCGTTGTACAGCCACCATGGCTGTTTAGCTATATCTACGTTTGCGGGTTTTAATTCACTCGAATCGGACTGGGAGATATGGGTATCATCCATGTTCTGATTTGACTTCTTATCTAGTTGCCGGTTATCGCAGCTGTAACACCCTTCCACCTTTGGTTTGCCCAGCTCATAAGACTCTTTGATCGGAGTAGTTTTGGTGATACTACGACGCCCCCATGCTTGGATATGGACAATATCCTCATAGCTTCTTCTTGACAATCTACTACAAGTGTGATGCTTTCATCGCACAGTGATTCCTCGAGTCTGTCAGGGTCGACCAATAGCCAGAACCTTCCATCAGTCGGCCTGTCCGTCTCCTTGCCTGTAAACACCGCCGCCGTGCAGGCAACAGGCATTCCCGTAATCGTGAGTGGCTTCGGGTCCTTTTTTGTGCAAAGAACCATGTCACGGTCGGGGTCGTAGCGTCCTCGAGGCAGTTTCGTGTCTCGCAATGCAGCGAGCGTCGCAGCCCAGGCCGCGTCAAATGGATTTCCGTCAAAGGAAATAAAGAAGATGTCAATGTATAGCACCCAGTATGCGGCCACGTACTCTTCTCCACTCTGCTTATCGACATCCTCCTCGTCTTCGTCCATCTCATCATCGTCATCAGCAACCATGCGTTCCGATGGCCGAGTGTGCCATATCCGCAGATCCTCTGCTTGGAGCAGTTTTGAGTCGTGAAGAAGAGAATATATCCTGGTGCTCAGAGTCTGGGCCAGCGTCGTAGGCGGCCCTCCTGGTAGAAACTGGGGGGAAGATCCCGTGGCCAGTTCAATGTTTGGCACAAGCAGGTCATAATCTCGAAGCTCAGTTTCTCTGTTGGAGGCACGGTAGTTGGGGATGTGTTGTGCCAAGATGGTTTCGCCGCGAACGCCGCAGATGACAGTTGTGTCTCCCATGCGAACTAGAGAACTGCCATGCGGGTGTGACAGGCTGGAGAGATTGACGGTCGTCGGGCGAACCTCCTCTGGGGCGCGGCCATTGCTTCGTGCCGGTGCAACATGGTCATCAGAAGGCTCTAGGTTGGCAAGAAGATATGGATGAGGCGAGAGTTTTGCAAATGTGGCACGCGAAAGGCCCGCATCAGGCGCCATGACGACAAATCCGAGCGCCCTATGATGGTGGGAAAATCCTAGAGCAGGTCTTGGCTCGGCGTAAGATGTGACCTAGATCCTTGTGAGCGTGGAAAGGCTGTTGAATGTGCAAGCTTGCATTGCGAAGCTGGAGGATGGCAGGAAAAGTCGGCTGCAGCCTCGTGGGGAACGTGGGTGAAGGTTGTGAAGCAAGCAACCAATGGACCGGGCCGGGCACAAGGCTAGACAAAAGTGCTGCAGAGGGGTCAATTGGTCAATTGGTTTGGCCGCCCCGCCAAAGCTCTGTCTCGACACGTGGGGCTCGCAAGCTCAAGCTTCAACATCGAAGTTGACAGCTCCAGCAATTAGAGTAGAAGTAGAGGCAGTTTAGCATCGTCACTGTCTTCGACATTGCACCTTCTCTCGGAGTTTGACGGCTCGCTGTAAGGACACCATGGGATCTGGTAACTTCACAGACTTGGGCAGACGAGGACTCACTGGGACTTTCCGCAGCTTCATTCGCCCCACGTCCAATACTGTTAAGAAAATGGTGTGAAGTACAGGCGCTTGCGCTTCCCATAATTGCCAACATTGAATGCCAATACGGAGTACGGAGTACGGGCTTGTATTGGCGAACCATGCCAGCGGCTGCAATACTTGACCAAGCACGAGATATCACATCATCCTCGATTCAATGGACCCAACAGCCAGTACAGAGTAACGGACTGCCCGTACAAGGAAGCGATCTGCACGAGAAATATCGTCGGATGTTGAGGCCGAGCCCGGTGGTGGGAAGGAAAGTGTGGAGGCGGGAAAACTTCACAGTGCAACGCCATGTTGGCTGCAGGTCGCTTTTGCGGTCCAGCAATTGGACGGGGTGCTGGGAATAACAGGTTTGTTTGCATTTGTGGCCGGAATGGAACAGTTGAGAAGCATCATGAGCACGAAAAGCAACGTGCATGCTACTGCATATGTATGTGACACGCTGGGCTCTCCTCGCCGACGCTAGAACATTGAATGTTCGGCCCTGACATGTCTGGTGCCGTTGAGTCTTCCCTTATTAGCGTCTGGTTGGAGTGTTGGCGCCCGCCTCTATTGAGGTCTCTGCATATTGGTCCAGGTCCCTTCATGGTGCAATTGATTCCATGTCTGTACTCCGTCAATCCCCTGGGCTTGCACATCGACAGGTGCTCTCAGTGCCGCATTCTGCAATACTGCCTGGCACTCCCAGCCTCCAGTTGGTACCACCGCGATTGACCTCAAGTGCTTGCGAAATGCTGAGGCCCTGGCGATTTGCGCCCCACCCCTCAAGCCCATAGCGAATGAGACGCTGTCCATTAGCGCCCGTCCCATGCAAGGTCGCTGTGGCTCCCCCGTAGCGTCTAGTCCTCGGCCCCTATCTGCCGAATCATTGTTCAGAACCCGGCCAGTAGCAGCTACCAACGGCCCCCAACATGGCGCCCACATCGCATCCCCACCCCAAAAACGTCGAATTGGTCCGTCTCATCTCGAACCATCACCGGCTTCCCTTCAGTCTTCCTGTCCCTCATGTCCCTAATGGCCACATCCAGCCCTCTTTTGACCAATTGCTGCCAGACTCGGTAGGCTGTTGGATGGCACTTTATCATATTGGTGGTGGCCCCGATATCTCTGGCTGACCATCATAATGCGGCTGCGGGCTATTCCCGACGACGGGCAAGATTGAACTCGACTCGATGGCAATAGCAGGTACGCCATCACCTTCCACCAGCCTACTCTGTACTCCGTACGGAGTACATATCATTAGCACAATACCTTTTGACTGCTGACGAATTCTTGAGAACCTACCGAGTACCAGCCACACGCTCTCCGCCGGAACATTCGATCCCATTCCCCGCCTGCCATGTTGCTTGGCCCAAGCTCGGTCGGGTGACGATGCATGTCACGCAGTCTCACTCCCACCGCATCGCGCGTCAACCTATCCAGTCCCTGTCATCTTCTATGTGACCATCCGCCGCCATTGGCGTTGCCCATATCTTGAACCAGCCAATCTCGTGCCATGATCTACCGCCAGGCCCTTGCGAATGAACGTGGCCACGGACCTTTTTTACACAGCAGCTACGGATTAGTTCGCCCATCCCCGTCGCCTATCCCAACTCGCCAGCTTTAGTTGCCATCGACAGCTCTTCTGCTCAATACCATGGCCTCAGTCGCTCACTCCTCCAAATGTGCCAGAGCACTCATCTTGCATAAATTCTCCACCGTTTGAATGCGAGGGAGTTCTTTCTGCACTTGACCCATGTGTGTCGCAGTGGCCGTTGGCCGATATCACATCGATTTGTGATTTATATCCCGGCACCCTGCCGCCATTTTCTTTCAGACTCCACTGCCTCAAATTTCCTATTCCCGGTTCTTGTTTTGCTACAACATATCCCCCATCTCCCTTCTGTCTCTATCGAAATTCGTTACTGCGACAAATGGGACCCGAGAGCCCATCAACTGCCTCCTGTGTCGTGTAAGCCGAGTTCATGAGCGTGTGTTCAAACGCCGACGCACCCACTACTGTCGCAACAAAGGGCGAGAGCCTCAGCTCTACCCCTATGTTGATTTGAATATACTACCACAAGTCTGCGCTCTGTCGCTGATCTTGTTTCACCTGTTGCCTTTTAAAAGATACCCAATTAGGAGCTTCATTCGCCGGTCGAAATGGCTCCGAGCTTCCAGACTATATCAATGCGAGATGCGGCCGCCCAGGTCGGCCGTTCCTTGTCGCACCTTACTAAGCGCATCAAGATTCCTTTGACGCCTACAAGCCCGCCGGGGCTGTTGCAGGCGAATGCCGTTGATCCCTGGAGCCAGTCTGGTAAATATGGATTAGGATGGACATACTTCGCCCTCAGTTTAATGGGATGTGTCCTCATAGTTCGTATTTGGCATTACTGGCAAGACAAAATTCGCCAAGCCATTTATAAGCAAGAGGTTGAAGACCATTACCGAAACCTATATAGCATCGAGGCCGACTATGCCATGGCCGTACAAACGGGCCAGTCACAGCAATTTTTCCCCGACGGGCCTGGCCTGGGAAACAGACAATTCCGGCCGAAGGCTCATTTCTCGTCCGTCGGTATCGTCAACGATACTCTGGCTCTGTTCCGATGGGTCTTCTACCGGCCCATTCCAGACATTGTATGGGGAAAGAATCGCTTTACGTTTTCATCTCTAGCCGTGTTAGCTTGCGGCTTCATTGCCCTCATCTTTGTCACCCTGTACTGCTTTCTTCAACAGCCGTTGTATTGGGAAAGCATCCGCTTCGGCTCACCGCCGGTGGCTATCCGATCAGGGATGCTCGCAGTCGCCATGACACCATGGATCATCATTACTAGTATGAAGGCAAATATCCTTACACTAATCATTGGCATTGGGCCAGAACGTCTCAATGTGTTCCATCGTTGGCTGGGGTATCTATGCCTGTTCCTGTCGCTCGTTCACATGGTCCCTTTCTACATTCAGCCTGTCTGGGAGGATGACGGCATGACTGTCTTCAACCAGCTATTCCCCGACGGCAGCGGCATGATATATGGGACGGGAATTGCCTGCATTGTACCGTTGATTTGGCTTTGTGTGGCGTCGCTTCCTTGGATCCGACGTGTTGCGTACGAAATGTTTGTCATTCTTCATGTGCCAGCTGGCGTTGTATATGTTGGCCTCTTGTTCTGGCATACGAAAAATGCCCTCTTGACTTGGGATTACCTCTATGCCACCATTGTCATCTGGGTGTTTGCCTATTTTATGCGTGTTTTTAAACTCAACTGGTTGAAGCCATGGCGCAACGCCTTCCTGGTTGGCGACGAGGCTGCTGTCACTCTCATGTCCGAAAACGCAATCAAAATTACGATTCCTACTCAGATGAGATGGAAGCCTGGTCAATACGTGTACCTCAGAATGCCCGGCATATCTGTTCTGGATAATCATCCATTTACCATTTCATCTCTTTGCAGCGAGGACTTTCCATCCGAGTACGGCGAGAATTATCGCGATTGCGTTCTTGTTTTCAAGCCATTCAGGGGATTCACACGAAAGGTTCTGGATACAGCCATTGCCAAAGGACCCTTTCACACGTATAGAGCCTTCTTGGATGGGCCCTACGGCGGTATGCGCAGGGACCTGGCGGCCTTTGACACCTGCATTCTCATCGCGGGTGGCAGTGGGATAACTTCATTAATGTCGCAGCTCCTCAACCTCATTAAGCGCATGCGCGATGGCAAAGCTATCACGAGAAAAGTGGTGGTCGTTTGGGCATTCAAGAGATTCGAGGCTATGGATTGGTTCCGAGAAGAACTCCGGATTTGTCGGGAAGCAGCACCCCCGGAGAGTGTGACTTGCAAGTTTTTTATTACCGGAGCCGTTCGCCACCGAGATGCTGGCCAAATGACCGCTCCTGTTAATGGGCAAAACCCCCGAGCCCTCAACCATATGTTGCACGACAAGTTGGACGGATTCGTGGCTGGTATTGCTTCCAAGCGTAACTCGGCTCTGATCCAAGCCGAGGCCGAGGGTGATCCTGAGAGGGAACGTGAACTCCGTGAGGAGAATCAGGATCGCATCACTGCTCTCCCCCAGCAAAAGTACCTCCAACCGCACCAGTATCCTCCTCCTCCGCCAGGGCCACCCTCGAGTCGCCTCGGACCTAATGGGTACCCTGAAGATAAGAAGCTCGAAGACGACGATGTCAAACAACCCGAAGAATTCCACTTCCCGTCTCTTCATAAAGAAAATCCTCCTCACTTCAACTACGCTCCCCCAAATCCCAGTAAGCCTGCTCTCAATATCCCGGAGCCCCAAGAGCCATATCCTGTGCGAGCTCCCGAACTCGCGCACTTACGGCACCCTGCCAATCCAGAGAATGCCAAGCAACGACCGACGTCTACTATTGGCCCGCCGGCCGGGTTCGACTTTGGTTTCCCAGAAACACCGACCGAATTCCAAAAGAATTTGATGAGATCGGCTTTCCCTATTCCGCATGAAATCGACGGCGGGTGGTCAATGGAGTACGGCCGGCCTGATCTGGGCTACATGCTCAAGGAGTGGGCAACGGGCGGCGTGGATGGACGGGGCATTCTGGGCAGAAGAACAGCCGTGTTTGTTTGCGGGCCTCCCTCAATGAGAGTTGGAGTCGCAAACACAGTGGCGAGGTTGCAGGCAGAGATTTGGGGAGATGACGAGCTGGAGGAAATCTTTCTCCACGCTGAGAACTATGCCTTGTAAAACGGGGCAGTGTGCATGGTAGCAATGCCATAATGAGGCCAAATGTGAGTGTATATAGAACTCGGGCGTAATATTTTGACGATTTAGTTTACATGCGTGTTGGAAGCGTACAACCAATGCTTGACATGATTACTGTACGTACCTAGGTACTTTCTAATGAGTCAATCATGTACCTGCCTGGTTCCAAAGTTCCATTTCTCGTGCCTCCGCGCAGTCCTGCGCTCTCTCATAGCCGTCCTTTTCGCTATTGACGTTGCAATACCTCCACGCGCACAGACAAACGCCGTCAGAAGCGCAGTTCTTTCTGGCCCTCTGCTCCGCGTCCGGGCACTGATGGAATGCAAGATGACCGCCTCTGTGGTAGTTTTGGAGGCAATACGCGGCCACGGATAGACAAGAGTTATGCGTCTTTTGGCGTGTAGCGCACACGGGCATCTTGCATGAATTTGCAGTCTGAAAAATGCCGTAGATGGCCAACTTCGCGAGTCATATCGACACTCTCGGTCAATGCCTTGCCAGGCATGAATTTGGTCACCCAAGGGCAATGGCCAACGTTTGCATCTTCCAATATGCGTATCCCGCGGAAGATGACAGCAGGTCCAGGGCTTCCCGGCCTTTGACATGATTTACACGGGTGAGTATGTTGAGAGCATAAGCAAGACTAAAGAGTGCGCCTAACCCTGTTCTATATATACTCGAGACAAATTGTCTCCACTTCCAAGTTCCAACAATCGCATCCCAAGTCAAAAGAGTGCCTGTCTACCTGCGGATTACAAACCACCCCATGCATCACATCATCCCTCCATCGATACGCACAAAGGCAGTCTCTTTGAAAAATGGGCAAGACCTGCAAGCGGATCCTCCCAATGCCAAAGGGCCGCTGACGCTACTTGGCGTCGCATGGGCACCTTGATGGGTAGAGCATCATGGTCTCGTGGGAACCTTTATCGACAGTTTGGCGACGATATCTTCTTCTTGTCTCTATTTTTTCTCTCTTTTACTTTATTTTCCTCTATTATTCCCTCAATCTCTATAGTTTCCATGCTTTCAGTTTTCGACTCGGATTTGTGCCTCAACATACAAGCATACACGTGCGACCAAACCTCAAACATGTGCCCGGAACGAGACATTGAAAAGATCGCCAAAGGCTGGACAATTGCCATGCTCTATTCCAAGGAGCGCTTAAAACGAATCTATGACTGGGGCAATGACCAGTTGGAAGAAGCTGCCAAGGGTGGCATACTGGTTCTGGAGACTGTGTGCTTATTTGTGCATGCTTGCGTCAAGCATGGTCAATACCAGTACGTTGAGCCTTCTTTTCCCAATTTCCCCCCTTGGCTATCACCGCTGTGGTTTGATGGGCGCTAATTCTATCCAGACTGCCATTCGAGTTTTGGAAAGTCCTGCATGCCGAGTACGGCATTGTCGTGTACCCCTCGGCTTTGACGGAGGATATCGACGTGCAGGGCTTAGGCGTCGATGTGACATTTATGGATGCTTATGGCGGGCATATCGGTTGGTTCTTCATTTCTTGCAAACAACCCGATCTTTCTCGCTGGCTAACATGTTACAGTCATGTACGGCCGATGTTGCGGCTCGGACCCGCCCCCGTGTCCGATGGAGTTTCTCAGAGAACCGCCGCCAGTGTACTCCAAGTAACAGGAAACATGAATAGACTTATTTGGGCCAAGAAGATGAATTACGCCGAAATGCGTCATATGATGAAGACGGCGTTTATGGGTGAAGAGTGCTTTGCAATGGTGGCGAGGAGGCGACAAAATGCATTTCAGGTGGCACAGCATCAATATAGTACGGAGTCATGGCATTTATACAGAAAAAGGAAATTGTAGATCATGATTTCACCTTCTCGCCCATCGCTCCGTCTCTGTTCGCCCTCCAGACACCCTCCTCGCCATCAAACTCTTCCCTCTTCCACACCTCAACCTTTGACTTGCACTCCTCCAAAGCTTCCTCCCCGGCCCGCCACGCTGCTTGTCTATGCGGCGACGATACCGCAATCAAGATGCTCTCTTCGCCGATGGGTACGGTCCCCAGACGGTGGATCATAGCTATGCCCTTGAGGCCGTGCTTGGTTATTAATTCCTTGGTAATAGCCAGCATCGTCCTTAGGGCGAGTTTGTTATACGCTGTATATGTGAGTTCTTTGACGGGTTTGCCGGCAAAGTTGTCTCTTGTTGTTCCTGAATCAGGGTCAGGCCGTGAGTTTTTGTGGTGAAGGTGCTGAGTGAGCATACCCGCGAAGAGAACTATGGCGCCGGCCGCTGGGCTGCGGACGCGGTCCATTACGGTTTGGACGTTAAGGTGGTCTCTTGTTAGGGCAACATAGCAGCCTTCCGATGAGAGTTCCCATACATCTTCGTCTTGCGATGCCATTACGATGGTGGTCTGGGCTGGGACGATTCTAAGAGTAAACAGGAGTGGGCAGCGGGGATCTCCGAGAATAAAGGCGGCTAGAGCCCAGCTGTGTGGGAATGTTGCCAAACTACCCCGTGAAGTATTAAACCAGGAAATAGGGGAAAAACATTCCAAAATTCGTTTTCTGAACCAAATCTTCAGAAAGTCGAAACAAAAACAAGCAACAAAGAATCTATCCCCTCTGTTGCTTCGGAAGGTTGTGAACAAACAGGGTAGGTTGTTGACGTCGATGGATGACTAAGATCTTCAACGGGTCACACACACCAATCGGACCCTTGAAACTTAGTTCCAAGCTACTATCCACCACACCAGACACCACCACTTCGTTGCTGATTTTTGTTTCTCCCTTGTTGCATCTTCGCGCCAAGTATCATGCACATCGCCGTCATGCGCGACGATTATCACGGACGATCCCCCGACCGAGGGCGGCATCGAAACGACCCCGACAACATGGGAGCCTCGCGAGGCAGAGGCAGAGACCGAGAGGGCCAAGACCGGCAGGACGACCATTACCGATCGCGTCATGGTAAAGACATGATCCGCGCCTTGTGTGGAGACTGATACAGCCTTCAAGCCTCTTGTCATGGAGCTTTTTGTATTAAGACTAGACAAGTTTTGTTCGCTAACTTACCCACGGGGCGTCGAGACTATTCCAGGTCTCCTCCAAGGCACAACTTCTACGACGACCAACGGGAGAAGGCACCACAACGGCATCACCCAGACCTGGGCGGCGAAAGGGATTATGATTACCGCTACGATGGCCCAGATGATGAGTATAGAAGACGACACCGGAGCCCCCGTCATCGATCAAGACATTTGGATGATCGGGGTCATTCATACGAGGACATGTACGACGATGGGAACCGTGATGAAGGCAGGCAGCGGGGACGGTATGACGATGACGAGCCCAGAGACGGCGGCGAGTATGCTCACCATGATGGTCGTAGAGGGAGATCCCGTAGCCCTTACGGCAGACATTACAGAAGTCGGTCCCGGAGCAGGCCGCGAGAAGCTGGGAAACCCACAGACACGGTAATCCTCGAGGGACTGCCGTATAGTATATCGTCTGCAGAGGTGTGTGAGGGCGACTGTTGCCGGCGGGCAATTTATACTGGCGAGCTGAAACTGATGGTGGTTGATAGGTTCGCGATAGCCTTCTTGCCAACTCGATTGCGGCTGAATTTCCGTCCATTGACGTGAGACTTTCATCTTCAAGAGGTCAGTCCAGCGGCGGGTGGTTTTTCCGACCGACATTTGACTCATACCATGAGCAGGAAACCGACGAGCATTTGTTCAGTTTGAAGACGTGGATCAAGCCACTGCTTTCGTTGAAGAGCATTTCCCAAAAATCCGCATTGAACTGCAGCATCCGACTGATGACGCACCAGACGGCAAGTTTGAAGCATATGTTCACTATGCCCGCAATCGCGATGACGGTGACACCCGGCAGATCCGAGCCGCCGACTGGATTTGCCCACAAGTGCGTATTTTGTGTCCAAATACATGCGGGGAAAAGATAGGCTGACCTCTTTAGTGTGACTTTTTGAACTTTTCTACGAGAACAAGGTGCAAAATATGCGGCACTCAGCCAGCGGGTAAGAATGAGCGATCCGTTAGGCGGACGTGACCCATAAGCTAACTGGTATCGAAGCGAACAACTGGGAACAAAGCCTCACAGGTGCGGCCGATGTCGCTGACGGTGCTGAAGCCGTGTCGCAAATATTGGTGGTGTATCCGTTGGCATCATTCGTGACAGAAGACATGCTCGCGAAAGACCTCAAACTCCTCGAAAAGTCAGAAGAACCAAAAAGCTCGACCAACGGGCCAACCAAGTTAAAGTCAACCGCTCCAGGAGCCGATGTCTCTCGCTACGGTGCGAAGCCGGGGTCATTACACCGCGTGTTTCTCATACGCGAGGTGACCTCGGGGGAGAGCTTTAAATACGGCTTTGCCGAGTTCTGGACCCTTGAGGATGCAGCCGCGGCAGTGACAAAGTTTCGCATGTCTCGCTCGTTTACTGTTGCCGGCTGTGCTGTTACTGTTGCTCCGACACACATGGGCGTATTTCTACCCGAGGAGCGCGAAATCGCGCCGAATATCGAACACATGTCGTTTAATCCGCTCTTCAACCCCTCCCTCCGAGTACGATATCGGGACATGCACGTATTTCCAAGCCAACTAGTAGTCACATCCGAAGCACCCGCCGACGTCAACCTCAACGCCGCCAAATCTACCGAGGAGGAACAGGGCGACAAGAAGCAGAAGAAGCGCAAAGCAGAAGGGGGCCTAGCCGCGTCCGCAGCCAAAAAGTCGGTCCCCATGGCAGGCCAAATGGCAGTATGGCAGAGGAAACACGACGAGCTCCGCGGCGTCGAAGAAGGCGGCGACGCCTCCAACGGCCAACCCGACTCAACCACCAAATCGACGCCGATCAAGATTTCACTGTCAAACTCTGCAAAACTCGGGGCTCCCTCGGCCCCCCCAACATCCGCAAGACACCCATCGCCGCGCGCGAAATCGCCCACTGCCCAGGCAACCCCACCACCAAGCTCACCACAGCACGCACCGGAAAGCACCACCCCGAAAGAAGAGACGTACATGGACAGAGAAAGACTCATGTGCCTCATCTGCATGCGCAAGTACAAGTCCATCGACGAAGTCAACATTCACGAAAAGTCGCGGAACCACAGATCCGCCATGGAAGACAGCGAGAAAGTCAAGGCGGCCCTCCCGCGACTCGCGACGCGCGACAAACGCCAGAAACAGGATGCCCAAGTAACCCAGTATCGCGACAGGGCCAAGGAACGGCGCGACATTTACAACCAGCCCAACAGGCCCTCTCAGGCCCCCAAGCCCAAGACTGAATCGAAGAAACCACCCGAGGAACCGAAGCCCGCGGTCAAGGCTGCATCCAAAGGAGCAGGAATGCTTGCCAAGATGGGCTGGACAACAGGTGTAGGCTTGGGGGCGAATAACGACGGCCGCACAGAGGCGATCGCTACGAATGCGTACCAAGAAGGCGTAGGGTTGGGTGCCGAGGGGAGTAACTTGGGCGATGCGGCAGAGTTGGCGGAACGCAAGACCAAGGGCTCTTACTCGGATTATTTGACTACGGTGCAGGATAAGGCGAGGGAGCGGTATAATCAGATGAACTGATATTGTTCAATAGTGTACAAGTGGCAAAATCAGGCGCAGTCTGGCAGAATATATTTGCCCATTGAGAAGCATTCGCTTGCACTGGCGTGAGCTGTGGCATGTTTTTTTGTTGTAGAGTGCGATGCCTTGATCTGGTTTGTATATTTGCCTCCAGTCTCCTTTGCATCTCTCGGCCACAAGGCCAAAAGTCTCTCACAGCATCTGCCACACACCCACCGCGTTTAGAGGCTGAAGGGAGCAGGTGTCTGTGGGAATTCAAGACATGGCTGCCATCTGTCCCGGCTGCTTGTTTCGGGCAAGGTGGAATGGTCAGCCGCCCAAAGCGGGCCGCATCCTCTTCCTGGCGCTTTTGAGGCTCAAGCTGACTATGTACGTACATACTAGTATTAAAATGAAAAAAACGCCGAATGGAGCAACGGCCGAGCCGCCAGGAGATGAGCATTGAGTCATCACCCTGGAACCCAGGTCGGGGAGTTCCTAGGCGGGCAAATCGGCGGCTACTCGATGCAGGTAAGCCGCATTAATTAAGTACTACTACGGAATACAGTGTAGCACGGAGGACTCCGTAAAGGCACAAGGAAGGCAGGTGGTAGGGCTGTGCATCCCCAGTTGCATGGGGCCGCTGCCACTTTTTGCCTCCACAGGATGGAGCCCAGGCCCGGACCCGCGGCAGCTGGGATGACGTGAAAGGGAGGAAGTTTGTTCAAAGCGCCTCGTCCTTTTCCATTTATTGAATTCATTCTTTATTTGCACGGAAACGCAAACGCCTTGCATTTGGACAGCGTGCCACAGCCACCCCATTTGCGCCGTCTATTGGCCGCCATTGTCCACCCGACAGCTGACAGCTGGTGGCCACAGCGGTGTTGTGGCTAGTGCTCCGCCCGTAAGCGAGCGCGATGACGACTACCCATGACATGCAGATCTGCGTGGCTCAGCTCTTTTTTTGGGTCTGCAGTAGACTGGGCCATTGTTGTATGTAGCATTTATTTCCGCGAGGCATGGATCGGTCGCCACTGCCCAGTACGGAGTACTAGGTGCTCCTGGGGCGGGGGCTGAGCTACGTAATCTATTTATTCATCAGCCGCATCATGCGGCTGCTTCACCGGGCCGCCTGGGGGTTGATACATACTTATATGCGTCGCGGCCCAGCGGTTTGGGGAGCTGGTGTCGTTTCTGCGCCTGCGAGCTAAGCACCACCTCTCCCCCGGCCTGCCAGAGAGACGAATTGACTTCACGATGCCCTCACTCCACCACGTGGCGCTTGTGCTGGGCGCCGTTGCAACAGTTTCCGCGGGCACGCTCTCGGTTCCTCTCGAACGGCGAGGCCCCAGCGAGGAGCACTACCGGTTGCTGGGCCGGGCCATTTCCCGTCGTGCCGCTGACAACGGGACCGCTGAGCTGACGGCCCTGAATAACATCACCGCCGCCGGCTACTATGCCAACTTTGCCATCGGCACGCCGGGCCAGAATCTTACTTTCCAGCTCGACACGGGCAGCAGCGATACCTGGATGAACTCGCCCCAGACGCGGTACTGCAGGAGCGCCACGGCGCAGTCGGAGGCGGGCTATTGCACCACCACTTGTACGTCCGCCCAGGAATGAGCATGTATGAACCGCCGTGTTCGACATTGTGGTTATTTTATTTTTGGTGTGCCCATCAAGCCTGCGCAAGAAGGCTAACATTGGTGGCCAGTCAACCCCCGAGACAGCAAGACGTACACGCTCGTCGACCAAGGCGGCTTCAACATCACCTACCTCGACCAGCGGCGCATCACGGGCGATTACTTCAACGACACCGTCACCATTGGGGGCCATGAAATCGCCAACCAGCAGCTGGGCCTCGCCATCTCGTCCACCCGCCCCACAGGCATAATGGGCCTGGGCTTCAGCATCAACGTCGCCACGCCCAACAAGTACCCTACCATCATCGACAACATGGTCAGCGAGGGCGTCATTGCCCATCCAAGCTTCAGTTTGTACTTGGTGCGTTTGCCACAGCTGCTTGCCCGCAGATGGCCTCGGCTTTGCTAACACGGCGTGCAGAACGACCTCGATGCCACATCCGGCACCATCCTCTTTGGCGGCATCGACTCTGCCAAGTTTCTCGGCAGCCTGGCGACTCTCCCCATCAAGCCCATGCCCAACGCCGAGGACACCAACGTCACCTCGTATGCCGTGGCCATCAAGTCCGTCTCGGCCACGGGCGTCAAGGTCCCCTCCGTCGCTCCCCAGTCAGTCGGCATCCTGGACTCGGGCTCCACCATCTCTCTGATACCCGATTCCCTCGTCAAGCCCATCCAGGACAAGTTCGGCGTCATCGTGGTCCAGATCCAGGGCCAGGCCGCGCCCCCCATGATCGACTGTGCCTGGAAAGGCAGCAAGGGCGACGGCATCCTCATCAGCTTCGAGTTTGACAACAAGACAATCAAGGTCCCCATTGCCGACATGGCCATCGACAGCCTCCCCGACGAGCTGCAGCAGATCCTCAAGAGCAACGACGCGCCCTCTGGCTTCAGGAGCTGGACCCGCGCATGTCTCTTTGGCCTGGGGGGCTCGTCGGCGTTTGGCGTCCGCGACGACCAGTTCTACCTCCTGGGCGACACCTTCTTGCGCTCCGCCTACGTCGCCTACGACATGGCCAACCAGCAGATCGGCCTGGCCCAGTCCAACCCCAACGCCACCGGCTCCAACGTGGTCGAGATACAAAAGGATGCCAAGTCCTTCCCCAACGTCCAGGGCTCCGACGGTTCGTATCCCCCGCAAACGCTCGGCCCAACGTCCATGTCGATACTAACACATGACCAGCGCCTGGCCCGGGAGAGAAGGCCAGTGCCTCTGGCCGCCTTGCTCCCTCCTCCTCCGTTGCCGCTACTCTCCTCCTGGGCGTGGCTGTCGTCTTCTCAGCCTTGTTGTAAATGGGGGAATTTTTGAACCTTGTAATGATTTATGTTTTGCATTTGGTACATGCATTCATGCGTATGACACGTAGGGTTTGGGGCAACGACATGGCGCTGATTCATATTGCCATTTAGAGAATGGTCATTTCGGATACCCTCATTGGAGCACACGTCATTTTGTAGCTGGCGTTGTCGACAAACTCATCATGACTTGATTTCATAACCTACAGCGGGAGGCAGAATATACCTAGAAGGGTAGCTGAATATCGCGCCCAGTAGTATAATGTAGTACAATCAGTAGTAGTGTATACTTTATAGGCCGTACATCTACCGTCGACTGTCCCCTCTTGTCCTCTGTGTGAGAAGATGTTGGACGGAATAGCTTTCGGATGGGCAGGTTGCCATGGAGAGGCTTGAGTTGGGCAACTGGCATTAAGAGAGTACAGCTTACATTGCAATTTAACGAATAGGGTAAAGAGTCTAGTTACGATTTTGGCACTACGGTGCGATATAACCTGCAAAGTAGATGGCATCATTTCGCAAGGAGACATACATGAATTAAACTAGTAGTCGAAGAGTAAAGCAAGTTGGCACATACAAGTTATTGAGTTGGTTTATGAGTACGAGGGCCATTGCTACGGGACCAGGGCACAGGGCTCTTTTGACTCCTTGTAAATAGTAGAGCTCTTGGGTCCTCTGGCCTTGGGAGAACCAGGAACCTTTGATGCCAGGGACTCAATATTGAATTGATGTTATTACAGCTGAATTGAGTTATGGCTGCGGCCCCCGGCAGGGGTAATTAAATGAAAGCACCAGACGGTTAACTGTCTTATCGGCGGCAGCCCAAGAGGCTTGAACTCAATCAATATTTCGTAGGCATCAGGGTCTTGTACAGAGGATTCATTTGCGACATTGGCATTACGATACTATAACCTGCATTTCATTTCAGATGTAGCCACGGAGGACTGAGCCAGAGACTCTGGTTTGCGCTGCTGCGCGTTACGGACTTGCCTGAGCACTGCACATGTCATCCCGGCGTGCAGGGGACGGGGAATGCTGTGTCTGGAGTACTAGTCCGCATTCACCGGACGAAAAGTAGACCCAGCCGAATAAGTGTACACGACAGCTTCTACCTGGGCCTCGACCATGCACCGCTCACAACGGACAGCGTTCCGGTAGACGTGTGACGCGCTCTAATTCGCCTTGTATTCTATGTAGTGCAACAGTGACATCCAACTTGTGGACTCGGAGGGGGACTATACAAACTACACATCGTGGCCCTAGCAAAGTACATCGACATGCCTCACTTGACCGTGCCGTCATTCCTGGCCTGGTTTACAACTTGCTCTTGTCGGGCTCGTCCGGAGCCAGTCGCACAACGCCCTACGAGCAGGTTAGCTTCATTCACATCTCTCAGAGCACGACGCGGACTTGCCTCTTGCACACAGGTCGCCAGCAATGTCCCGTCCTTTGCAAATATACGCTGCGTCACGAAGCCGCGCCCGTCGCCGGACCAGGGGCTCTCCATGTCGGCAAACATCCACTCGTCCACCTTGACGCGCCCGGGCTCGTGGAAGTAAATGCTGTGGTCCAGGCTCACCATCATGCCCAGCTTGGGGCGCGTCTTCCACTCCTCGACGGTTGATCCGAGGCCCTCAAACTCGGCCAGCTCCTTGACGTGCGGCTGATACTCCTCCGCCATGCCGTCATAGTCTTCCGGCTTAAAGGGCAGTCTCCAGAGGCGGTGGACGCGCCCGACGGTGCCGATAAAGGTGCTGTCCGAGACGTACGCCAACGCGTTCAAATGTGCCTGGCGGCCACCGGCCTCTGAGATCTTGCCACGGCACCGCATCCACTGCTGGCACCTCTGCTCGTCCGGCCGCGCCGTCGGGTCCGCGCCGCGCACAGCAGGCATGCGGTAGTTCTGGAAGGGCCCGCCCCTGGCCCATTCCGGCTCCTCTTGCCAGTCCAGAGGCGGAGGGGCCTTGGCCTCGTCCGGCATCGGGACGGCGTGGCGGACCGTCCTTTCGCCGCCCGCGTCTTCGCGGACGAAGCTAATCGTCGTCGTGAAGATGCAGCGCCCTCGCTGGCGTGCCTGGACGGTGCGCGTGGCGAACGAGCGGCCGTCACGGACCCGTTCCACGTGGAAGAGGATAGGGATGCTCCCGGACCCTGCCAAGATGAAGTAGCAGTGGCACGAGTGAGGGTAGAAGTCGTCGGGCACCGTCTTTTGCGCCGAGGCAAGGCATTGCGCAATGACGGTTCCGCCGTAGACGCCTCTTGCGCCGGGAGGCACCCAGGCCCTGCGGGTGTTTGTGAAGATGTCCTGGCGTTTGGGTCAACAGATCATTCCAAGAGGGGATACGGAGCACAAGCGAAGCCAAGGGGGGGGAACACGTACGGGCCCCAAGACTCCAACCTCGGTCACCTCCAAGACGTTTTCGATCGGGGCCTTGTTCGGATCCGCAGGCGGCGGCCTCAACAGCGTTGACCGTTCCTCGGGAGCCATGGTATTCTTGCTTCTTCCCTGTAGCGTAGACCCCGAAAAGAAGAGTTGGCAGCAGCTCAGCTAGTATTTCCCCAATGCAACCGTGGGTGAATGCCCTCCCGCTTATGTGGGGATATAAGCCGCTGGAATACGGCTCCGGGGTAAAACTGGCTCAACCGCTCCGAGTCCGTACACACGGCCAGCCGAGGCAAAAACGCGCAGCACGCAATGGCCAAACAAAGTCGCTCGTTGGGAGTGAAGCAAACCGAGAGAAGTGACGTTCGAGAAGCGGATGCAGGAATTAAGAATTGAAATCTCCAGGAAGGCGCGTCACTGGTGCAGGAGCAATGTCCCCATTCGGCCACGTCCCACGTCCGAGCCTCGGCTAACCCGCAACCTCCAACATGTTTGGAGACTAGGATTAAAGTTGTGTGCCTTCCCTTCCCTCACCCAGGAACATGGGATGCGACGCCCCAGCTCTCCCGTCAGGCCAATTACCGTCCGTGCAATTTCTTTGCAATAAAGTGGGGCAGCATAGCACTGCATTACTCCGTACGGAGTACATGACCCAGTACCAAGGATGCGCCCGGGAATAAAATCACCAAAAACATGATGGTCTTACACAGTGGCAGCAGCAGGATGGGTTACCCAACACTCATGACACCCAACTGCAGGTGCCTTGTGATATAATTGAATATCCCCTATTATTGCCTATACACGGATCCTATTCATGCTATGGTGCTTCATCATTGTCATACATCACATCACCACCGCAATCAGTCTCACCCACCGTTCAATACGATTCAGAAGCAAAATCGAGAGACGACACAATATGTCTTTGTGTATTAAACGGATCAAGTCCAGCTTTGCACTGCCGTCCCAAGCGAATGGATAGATTGGTCCCCATACTCTTAGCCCCGTGGCCCTCTTCGCTACCAAAACCGCAAACCACTGCAAAAAAGCAGCAAACTCATGCAATCGTGTAAAAGTCTTGCCCCTGTCTATTGATTTGCGTCCTCAAAAACTGGCTCCAGCCCTGCCCACGCATTTGGGTCTCCGTCAGGTCCGGCCTTTTCGCGTTGCTGCCAGTACTTGCCGTTGAACTTCCAATATGACTCCCCAGTGATCTCGCATGTTTCCTTGCTGAACCACGCCGGTACAAACTCCTCGCCCTTGGACTCACGTATTCTGCGGCGCGCTCGCTGTGCCTCTTCGAGTCGATTCTTCTCTGTAGCGGCAAAGTCGTACTCGCCGTCCTCCATGGCACGCTGATCGGGGCGAAGACGAGAGTCGGTCGGTGCTATCCATGGCCTGAGCTTGTCGTCGATGTGGTTAAATGTCAGTACGAAAGGCGTCAAGTTGAATGGAATACCAGCAGGCCTCGGGTTGGCCTCCCAGATCAAGTACGCTCGGGTTGGATCATTCATGGCGCCCTTGTGCAGAGGGCCGGAGTCCTTCAATTCGTCAATAGACGCCTCATACCCAGGCGTTAAGCGAGCGTACAGCTTCGAGTTCCAACGTCCGCCCAGACTAACGCGGACATTGCCATCTGCATCCAGAACTTTGCCAGAAATCAGATACGCGCTCGACGCCTTCCACCCGCGAGCCTTGAAATCGAGGATGGCCACCTCCCCAGTCGTCCAATTCTTGATTTCCATCGGGCCGTAATTGTCTACCGTCGGGTTGCCGGTGATGATGCCAATGACCGACGAGGTGACCTTCTTCCACGTGTAGAGCTCCTCCTTTCCACCGGCAGTGGGTCTCAACTTCAGGAACCATGTGCCGAGAGGGTTGATGTCAAAGGATTTGCCATAAAACTTGGATTTTACGGCAGATTCGCCCCAGTATTCCCAGTTTGGCGATTCGGCCCATGCGGCACCAACAGGAGGATGGTGGCTAACTTGCTCGATAAAGAAGCGGTAGTTCTTGTCTGGTCTCACGTATTCGAATGTCTCGCCGAGCAACGGGTTGAATGGCTTGGCAACACGCCCGATTGTTGATGCATACTCGCTGGCAGCAAAAGCAGCAACGTATATTAAGCGTTCAATTGAGTCGGCGCGCTCCGCAGCCAAGTCCAGCAGGTCAGCATACTCCATGTCTTCACCGCAGCGATAAAGCAGAGATGTGGGTTCGTTGAAGGATACAGGCAAAGTCATCTTGGTCATGTCCTTTCCAATCATGGACTTCAGGATGCCCTGTAAACTATTTGTTAGTTTTTCGCGATCGTCAGTGGGCAACGGAATCACGCTTACTCACCCAAAGTGAAATCTTGGGGCGATCATCGGCATCCATTTTGAGTCTGTGTCGGATACCGTTCTCGTAACCCTTAAATGAAGAGCTAATATCAATACCGGAGACAATCACATCCTTCTGAGACTGGACAGTCTCCCCCTGTGGCATTGCAGCGACTTCAACTTCGCCGGCGTCTACTGCATCAAAGAATTCCTCTTCGTCGCCAGATTCGCTTTCTGACAGCTCACCCAGTTGGTCCAAAGCAGTCGGTCTGCGTCCAAGACTTCTAGTAGGAGATTTCGCGGCTGCTTCCACTTCTTCCTGCAGAGCTTCGGTTGTGGGTGTGCCAACACCGGAAACACCGCCGGCTTCCATGACCTCACGAAGGGCCTTCTTGGTCAGGCGACGCTTCTCCTCCGCCTCGCCCATCCGTGCCTCAAGTTCTTCGTGTTCGCGAGCAACCTGCTGCATACTGTCTTCCCACATGCGGCGCAGGTTTGCCTCGCGATCTAGACGGTACTGCCAGTAAGCGTCTCTGTCCTTGGAAATTCGGAGCATATCACCAAGAAGCCCTGTCAAGCTGCGGATCGCCGCATCATAGGTAGACAGCGCCTGAGTTACATTTGTGTCAGACAGCGGTGTGGCAGGGCTTTGAGTGAGCTGTGCCATAAGGGCCGTGTGAACTCCAGACATGGTTTCCAGCTGGATCTTTGCGGACTGGGCTGTGATGTTGAGTGCATCCTTGGTCGCTTGTGGCGCATCGCGCACGCTCCTGTCATCACCAAAATCGTCGTCGTCGTCAATTTCGCCTGGTATGACTGGACCTCCGTTGCCCTGTATGCGAGAGACGTCACCATCGGTGGCTGCATCTGCAAATTCATCATCGTCCAGACTGCCAATGGTGCTTGCTCGTGTCAAGTCAGCCTTTGAAGGCGTCATCCTATTATTCGACGTGGTCCGGCTTGGCAGTTGTGAAGTGCTGCGTTGTAGATCCGACAGGCTAGCATTCTCACTGGGTACCTCATGAAGTGAAAGTGAGCTCTGCTCAGCCTTGGCGATTTTGAGGAGCTCTGCGCTGCGGGCTGCCTGCTTTTCTTCCTCCTTTGCCTGATCCTTGGTCCACTGGACAGAGTTGTTGAGTGCCCAGAACCAGCGCTTGGCTTCGACCTCGTGGTTCGCCTTGAGAGTATATTTGACAGATGATTTGCCAATAATCTCGAACTTGGTCTTCTCGTCAGCACTCATATTCAACTTGGCAATCTTCATGTTGATTGCACCTCGGCATGCGGAACCAGCATCGTCTTGGTGCTTGTAGTAGCTGAGCACCCCATCCTCAAGCACAAACCATCTCAACTGATAGCCCTTGCGGTAATTGGTCCATTTTTTCAAATACCCCTTCATTTCTCGGGCCTCGCGCCCAGCCATCAAGTCAGTTGCGGCCGCGCCGCCCGCGCCTTGTGATGCTGCTTGGCCAAGAACGGCCTTCTCTTGAATACCTCTCTGAGCTGCAACGGCTGCAGGGGACTTTTTCAGAATAGCCTTGACATTGTCGTCATGAGTGATGGACTGCGGCAGTTTTCCCTTGCGATCACGGCGGAAAGGGTCACCACCATGAAGCAGGAGAACCTGGATCAGTTGGGTGTTTTTCTTTCGTGCTGCCTCATGAAGCAAGGTTCCACCTGTTTGCACAGTAACTGGTTCCGAAGCAAACTCGGGGCCGTTGATGTCCACCACGGTCTTCAGGCGAGGCTCCTCAAGCACCTGCGCCAGGGTATCGTAGTCGCCATGAGCAATCAGCTCTTGTACCTGCTTCACCTTGGCCTCGGTGAATAGAGAACGCGATAGTTGGAGGATTTGAAAGATTTCAGGATTTCTGGCCAAGTCGAGCGGCAGCTTTCCGTGGTGGTTGACGACTGCGTCATTGATGTCCTTTTGGTCCAACAAGAGCTTCACAACAGGCGTCCGGCCCTGGATGGCAGCGATATGCAGCGGTGTGTTGCCGTCTTTGTCCCTGGCATTGACATCAACGCTACCGGCACTGTCCGACAGGACATATTCGATGACGGGGAACTCGGCGCACTGAATGGCGAGGTGCAGAATAGTGGTGTCTTCGAGGGGACCGGTGCTGACGGTTGCGACCGAGGAAGTGCTGGGTCGGGGTGCATTGTCGGCCGTCTCGCGAATCGCCTTGGAGATGGAGGCTGTATCGCCACTTCTCAGGGCTTCCACGACCCTGAACTTGCGGACAGACTGCTCCAGGCTGGCACCTTGGCCTGGTATGGGCGCAGGCTTGGCTGCGGCGGTGGGCGACTGTGCAGACGGTATTCTGTTGAGCATGGTGGATGCGGTCGAAAGTCTCGAACTGTGTGCTCGGGTGGCCGACTGATGCGACAACGGGGTGCCAGAAGGTCTCGAGGTGGATTTTGGCGAGGCTGTCCCGGCGGCAGACCGACCGTCTTCTGAGCCGGACTCGTCTTCGCGGGTTTCTTTGCGACGAAGCAGGGAAAAAGCCGCAGAGGACTTGGATCGCTTGTGCGTGCTATTCAAGGCGAAATAGAAGGAGCGCGTCAGCACGGAAATCCAGAATGCGTAGATTGGCTGGCTGTGGAGAATACTGTATGGGAGTGAGGTAGAGGCAGAGAGGTAGGAGGGGTGTTGGCGGTGGGGAGGAGCTAAAGGGGCGAGACGGCCAAGCCGAAGCAAGCATCAGGAGATGTCGCAATGCAGGCCGATCTTTGGAGAAGTGGGAGTAATATAGTAAAATTGAGATGCTGGCAAACGCAGGCAAA